AATAGTATGTTGTGGTCCTGTTCTGCTTCCTCCACTACTGACTTTGTTGTTAGCTCGTTTTTTCGCGCAGTTCAGTTGCTGTGCGATAGCCGTGGTTCTTTTGATGTGACTCATTGGGTGTTGTCCATGGCTGCGTCTTCTTGTGGGGGTTCTTGGGCCGGGATAACTACGGGAATTGGTAGCGGGCTTGGGTTTGTATCTGGTCCGAGTCTGTTTGTGATTCGGACTTTGGTTCGTTCCGGGCAGTTGACGTCTGTTGCTTTATGGGGGGCTTTGCAGTGATAGCATCGGATAGGTGTGTGTGAGCATCTGAGGCCTCCGGCGCATTCTGTACATGGGTGGTCTTTGGTTTGGTGTTCCTCGGCACAGTGTCCGCATCTTCCGTTGTTGGAGCAACGTTCCTGTCTATGGCCGTATTCAAGGCATTTGGCACACTGGGTCTCTGGGTTTGCTGGGAGGTAACTGTCGATTTTGCAGTTCCTGTCGAAGAGGGTGAGGTATCGGAGGCCGAGGTTTTCTTTAGTGAATTGTCCAGGGAGGGCAATGATCATGGAGGAGTGTGACTTTCCGATTCTGGCTTCTGGTTTTGATAGCCATCTCGGGATTTGTGCCAGTTCAAACGTGTTGCCGTAGTTGTTTCTAATTTCCGATGCTAGACATTGTCCTGCGTCGAAAGCTTCGCCTATGGAGGTGGGGATGCCATGAAGGATGAATTTTGACCATCTGGAGTTAATTCGGATGTCGACGAAGGGTATCTTTAGTTCGTTTAAGGCAGTTTCGATTTCCTTTTTATATTCAAGGACCTTTGTTGCTGGGGTTGCAAACTTTGATTCCAGGATTATGTTGTTCTTGGTTGTTTTCCTGGCGGCGATTAGTTGGCAATCAGGGTCCTGGATTTTTGCATTGATCTTGGCTCTGATATCTGATGGGGTGATTAGGAGTTCCTTATTGGTTTCGATCACGATTTCCCGGTTAAGTTTGGTGATTTCCGGTTTGAACAGAGGGTCTGCTTTGGGTTTGGTTTTTCTCTTGTTCGTGACCGTCGTGAATTCGGGGTTTGTGTTTCCTGCCGCGGCGGACGCGTAGGATTTTGGTGCCGGTGGAGCCAGTACTTCTTTAGCTTTTCCTTTTGGCTGTTGGGCATGGTTGGGTGATTGGGGTTGTTGGCGGGTGTGGTGGGGGCGGTGGTGGTGGCGGCAGCGACGGCGGCAATTGCGGAGGTTCTTCCTTCAGTGATTGCTTGGTTGCTGGCCTGTTGACAGAGAGGTTGGTGAGCTGTTGTTGGAGGCGGTGGAGTTTTTCGGATGTTTTGTCCTGGTTCTTTGTCATTTCAAACATTTGTTTGGCCAGGACGTCGACGGTGTGTTTGAGGGAGTCATTTTGGGTAGATAGGACTTCAATGATGGCTTTTAGGTCCCTGTTGGTTTGTTCGGTCGTTTGGTTGAGGGGTTCGAGTGCTACGGTGAGGGCGTTTCTAACCGCCCAAGAGATGTAGTTCAAGTCCATTCTGGCGTGGGTTTCCTCAGGAACGATGCTGGGGTGGATGTAATCGTATTTTGGGGCATATGGTTCGTTATATTGAGTATGTTCGGCGAAGATGGAGAAAGGTTCGTTACCGAGTTGGGTTTGTTCGATCGTGGTGGATTGTGTTTGTTGAGTCGATTGAGTGTCGGGAAAGCGGGGGGGTGCTGGGGTTCCTGGAGGGGGGGCCCCTGCGAACCAGGAGCTCAGCGAGGCTTGCTGGGACATCACTGATGTTCCGGATCGGATTGGGTTAGGAAAGACTTCTGATAGAGTCCTCTTTCGGCCCGCAATGTTTGGTGGGTTAGGTGGGTTTGGTGAGGCCAGGTTGTTGTTGTTTTCCGCTACGGTCGCGAGGCTTTAAGCGAGGGTTGAAGGGTGAGGAGATCACAACTCAGTGACTAGAGCGTGAATAACTTCGCGTACGAACAGATGTGCGATAAGATACCAATAGATTACGCGGTCTATTGACATACAGGATCGTGTTCGAGTAAAAGTTTTATCGGAAAGGCAGGCCAAAAGTTATTGTTGTTCGAAAGTTTTGGTGTTGCGAGGAGTACAGAAGACGTTGCGTAAGGAAAGAAGAAGAGAAAGGGAAACAGGAACGAGGCGAGGGAGAGCCCCCTAATATACCCAAGGAAATCCTACGATGACTAATCCAAAGTGACTCACACCGCGCAACCGAACAGAAATCCATAGAACGCGATGGAAACCTCCTGACTAATCCAACTCAGTGTAACCTAACTACTTCATCAACCGATCCATGAAAATCCGACTATGATTCCTTCGTGTGCTCGGGGTGCTAGTTTGCTTCCTGCTGGCCTAGAGTTTTCTGGGATGTGGACATAGCATTTCTTTCCGAATGGTTGAAGGTGTTGGATACTCGGCTTTGAACCTTTCAGGGCTTCGAAGGGGGTCTTTCCCTTTAGCGTACTGTGAGGTAGCCTGTTTTTGAGGTAGACAGCTGTTGAGTATGCTTCACCCCATAACGATTTAGGATGGTCTATGATCATGCACCTGACCATTGTTGTTATCGTCCTATTGAATCGTTCTGCAACTCCATTTGATTTGGGAGTGTATGGGGGAGTCTGTTCGTGGACTATTCCTTGTAGGTTGAAGTAATCCATTGTGTCTTTGTTGACGTATTCACCACCACCGTCCGTTCTAAATCTCAGTATTGTTGTATTGTACTGTTTCTCGATTTTCCTGACGTAGTCTTTGATGGCTTTTATCGCATCGTCTTTCTGTTTTAGCAGATATATCCAGGCGAAGCGGGTATAGTCGTCAATGAAGGACATATAGTACAGAGCTCTTCCTTGCGATTGTGTGCCGAATTTTCCAGATAGGTCAGAGTGGATTAGTTCGAATGCTCGCTGGGATCTTGTACTAATTGGTTCAGGTTTCTTGTTTACACTTTTTGATAGTGCGCATTGACTGCAATGGAATGTTTCTGGTTTGAGGGGTAGCTTATGGATGTCTTCGTACAAGTTTTCTAGTGACGCAGGGTGGCCTAGTGCTTGATGCCATTCAGAGTAAGTGGTCAAGCGAACTGTATTGCTAACTACTTGTACATTCCAAAGTCCCTTATCCAATTTCGCCCAAATTATTCCTTTCTTTTCTTTCGTGACCAATTTGTTTCCTCCTCCTGACTCTGTTCTATACCCCTTTTCGTCGAGTACGGTTTCTGAGACCAATCCCACATTTCCCATGGTTGGGACCAGCAGCACGTCGGTGAGGACAACGGTGGATCTATCTCCATTGGGAAGGTAGCATTCGAAACTAGCGCTTCCCAATCCGGTGACAGCGTGGATGGTGCCGTCGGCTGTTCGGACTGTGCTGGTGTGAGGGCGGATGTTGAAGAGTTGGTCTTTGAAAGGTGTTACGTGAGAAGTATCTCCAGAATCAAGGATCCAGGTAAGGGGCAGAGAAGGTGAGGTATCGGTGCGTACCATGCATACTGTTGTGGATGATTCATTGATAACTACCGATGCTGAGTTATCTCTGCCTGGTCTCCTTCTGTTTGAATCCCTTGTCTTGTTCTGTTCTTTGAGCTTTCTACACTCCTTGTACTCGTGGCCCTGGTACGGGTTATTCCGTTTCTTGCACCAGGTGCATTCCTTACCGTTTGGTATGGGGGTATTTCTGGTGTGAAGTACCCTGTTGTTGCCGGTGAGAGGGTTTTCCTCTTGTAGGTTTTGTAGCCTTTGGCGTACATCTTCGTATGTAACATCCTGTTTAGTCTGGATGTTATCGACGACGTTGCTCATCGACTTCGGCAGTGAGGCAAGTAGGAATGCTGCCATTGCTTCGTTGGATTTGGTGAGGGGTAGCAGGGCCTGAGCGAGTTTGTGATCGCCGCTCTGACACCTGGTCTTGAGAGTGTTCCAGTTCGTGTTGAAGGTCTCGAGATGCTCGGTTAGGTTACCGTTGTCTTGCATCTTCGTGTCTAGAACACGGCTGACGAGTGTGATCGTCGTGTTTGGTGATACGCGATCGTAGAGGTCTTTGAGCGCCTTCCATGCGTGGTATGCATTTTCGGCGGAGACGACTGTTGGTTGTATGTCTTCGGCTACAGCTCCGATGAGAAGGCTATGCATTTGTTTTTGGGCCTTTTTGATTTCGGCCTTGGTGAGGTCTGTGTCATCCTCTGTGGGGTTTTCGATGCTCAATGCTTCCCACCAGTCTGCTGCATCGAATGTAATCCTCCAGGCAGACGCCCAAGTTTGGTAGTTGGATTGTCCCTTTAATTTTGGGAGTCCATCAAACTTGATGCGAATGTTACTGGTGCTCGTGTTGTCTGAGGACTTAACCTACACGACCTTGGATGATTCACCAGCGTCAGACATGATGTTGTATGAAGTGTAATTGAGTTAACCGAATGTGGCGAGTGTTGTGCGGATTTTATTTGGCAAAACCCGGGCTCATAACCTGAAGTTTGTAGTGTGGGAGAAAATGACTTGAGTGTGGTATGAACACGTGACCTTGAGGGAGGATGTGTTTGTAGTGCGAAGAAGATACTATTGCGCCGCTAAAGTTCCAGCGACTATGTGGGCGTTTGAGCGCTCTATATATACAGATATTCTAATACCACGTGATCCCCTGATTACATAATCCTTGAGACTAAGCCTTATCTGAATCCCTGTTCCTTCTATGAGTCATCCCTTATACATGAGTAATTCCATACATAACCGATGTCGCAATGCCCTATTTCTACAAGATGGATTCAAGTATTATGTACTCTAGTAGACAGCTGTATAATGATGAAACAGGTTAGTACGGCTTCGGGCGAGTGATAGCTCATGCGACGCTAGGTAGATAGTAAATGTCTTACACAGAACATCACGCACAATTGTTACTTGCAAAAATCAAATAGAACTGGATCTACAGAGAGAGACTCTACACTATTATCCCCCCAAAATCTTCCCTCTCCCAAGTATTATAGTCCTACCTAGGGCATATGATCATACCCAACCCTAACCCTACGGTTTCACAACCCTAACCCACTCAAGCTTATCATCCATGAAAAACGTAGTTTCTGCCGTCCCGGTGACATTCTGAATGCCGCAGGTCTCTACAAAGTCCCCTGCTTTGGCGTTCTTTGCTTGGACGAGTTTGACATATTGATCCAGCGGGCACGATCTTCCAGGGCCGGATTGGCACGATGACACAGCTGTCGAATGAGCTGGATCAGTACATGTATAATATATATATATATCTTTGTGAGCGCGGATATATGGAGAGAATGGCTTACGGTATACAGCGTCGTTGAGACGGATCCGGACATAACTGTTCTTCTTACTGGAGGAAGATGCAGAGCAGGATAGGCGCTCAAACGCTACAGTACCACGCATCGGGTTTATCCTACTACTGATAAAGATCTAGTTCCCGTATCAGCGCTACATCTACAAAGGGTCTCCGTCTCGAAGCGGTGGACTCACCCTCGACTCATCAATTTTATCAGTCGTCAAATTCCTTTGGCTATCGAACACACCGGTGGCAGAGGCAAGCTGGTTGATCTGGTTATCGTGTGTAAACGCAACCACCAACGGCGGTGGCTTGAAGCTACTACCCGTGTGGGTGGTGTATGTCCTATTCGGCCCCTGCTGTAGCACATCCATGATGGAGCTGAGGAGCGGCAGCATCATCGTCGACTCCAACCCGGACCCAGGACCTGCTCTTGTTAGCGTTGGGAGCCTAACGAGGGCCAGGTATATATATAAGAACACCTACCAGTGCCGTACCAGTACCTCAGATCTTGACGGTACTCATATGCTTTGAACTCCTTCTCCTCAAATGTGCTACAAAACGCACTTTCCCTCCCCAAGATCTGCGTCTCAAAGCCGCACAGGTACGGGAATATCCCCACGTCCGCGTCCGCCAGCGTCAGGTTCCCCTTGATCAGCTTCTGCAGCCTCTTCGTTACGGATGGTAGGTACACCTTATCCCACGCCGCCGTCTGCACCGACGAGTCGTCGCTGTACGCCAGGCAGAGATCCGAGGGCGCGAGTGAGTTGGCCACGGCAGCGGGATCAGAGGCATTGACGACGAGGATGTCGACGAGGGAGGTTGCATTGGGGCCGATATAGCCCTGGGAGAAGAGGCGCGCGGAGTCGATGGTGCGGGGGTAGTTGTTGGCCCAGAGGGTGAAGGGGGTGTTGTAGGTGTAGAAGGAGGGGTAGCGGAAGCGGAGGGTGGTGCCGAGTGTGTGCAGCTCTTGGTAGCCGGTTGTGGAGACTTGGGCGATCTGGGAGCTGGAGAGGGCTGGCGGACTCCAGGTGGGGAGGAAGGTGAGGGGTGTAGAGGCGGTGAAGGTTGAGGATTGGAGCTGTGGGAATGGTGTTAGGAATATCAGGGCTCAAGGAGTTTTACGGTAGGAGGTGGAAAGTCGAACCTTTGCATAGAGAGTCTGCCATTCTTTATAGGCACCGGGATCTGGGTAACGACTCCCGTGACGGATCACGTAGCTGAAGTGAGTCGCGAGTGTTAGTTGATGTCCTACTTTTTAGGACTCGGAATCTTGCTCTTACACCGCCTGATCAACTTCGCAACCCTGAGGAATCTCTTGTGATATACCAAACACATCCGGTCCTGCAATTGATTGAAACGTCAGATTAAGGGTTTATTTAACACAAACGGGCATCGATGACTACTACATACCTGGAAACCATGGACTATTCGCACCAACCCATTCCAACGGATTAAACGTCTTCCCTCTGCCCCGGGGGCTAGCTGCAATTACAGTCTGCGAAAGCACAATCAGAGCAAGAATTACCCGCACCATCTTGCTTGCTGTCGGAGGTGATTGACAGTCTCAATTCATGGCTACGAGCTCCAATTTATAGATTTATTAAGTTACAGTTACTTTTCGAAGTAGCCTATACACGACATTATATGGAGCACGTGTATTCCACTAATGTTGGTTAATTCTCAAAGTCGTATGTAGTTTAGATAGCATAGCTACATAGCTAGGCGGGTTGGGATTATATATTTATCCGGAATTCCCAGGGTTCCTAAATTGGCGAAGTTTATTGCAATTAATATATCAGTCTTCTCTTAGCCGAGAGCACGTTTAGGCATCAGTATTATGTTGGTTCTTTATTTCATTATCTCATTTATATAACTAGCCCCATTGATGACCGTGAGTACTCTGGGTTTAGAATCTCACGTGCGAGTCATGATGGTCGTTGGCAGGTTTTCCGAGAGAACCTGCCAAGAAATAGTAACTATTACCATGAAGCAATACGGGTAGTTTTCCGAGTCCTTGTAGAAAGCCTCAAACCGGCACCGTATCACCCCTCGGCCTTCATCTACCCAGAATCTCGTCTTCATTTTTTCAATGACAAGGGTTAGGGTTGCTCCAACATTCTTAGATCTCGAGTGATAATTCATGATGAGAAATAATTAAATTATCCAACCCGCCTAGGAGGCCCACATGCGCAAAAACATGAAATATCCACCAAATCCACCTAAATTTTCGAATAAGGCGCACTAATTAACCGCTACAGGTGTGTCAAAACACACCCCACATCAAACAGCAAACTTCCCCAGAGCATCACCCGTTAGAAGCCGCGAGCTTTGACCAGTTCATCATCTTGGTGGTCAGGTACGAACTCACATCCGAGTGGACGGTGTCCCGCTCCACAGCTGGGTTATTGGGATGAGCTGCATGTTGGCCAGCCTGGTAGGTGGCCGTTTTGTCAGGGGATGATAAGGTACATAGGGGAGAATGGATAAAGGTGGTGTAAAAGCTCTACTCGTAATTTCATAGCGTTTGTGAACGCCACAGCTAGCTGGGTCTGCATACACCAAAATCTGGAGCCTTATGCAGGATTTTGCGGGTATGCAACTTCACAAACGCTATGAAATTACGGGTATAGACCGGATTTATTCATACACACTAGAGTACATAAGTAACAGTGATACTCACCGCAGCTTTGAGCGGTCTGAGATCTTTTGCAACGGCCGTGGTAAAGTACATGATTTTGGGAGATCTACTGTCTCTGTGGGATGAGGGTCTACATTCATTATACAAGCACTTTAGGATGTTATATTTTCTTAGCATCCTATAACCAGTGGGGGGTTTAATGCCACAGAGTCGACGGGGTCGTGTTGTCGTTACCATCTTGGAGAGTGTATGTGCCATTGCCCTGGATGACATCACTGCATTCCCACTCTCCAAACAGAACCAAACACCAAAAACAAACCTGGCCTCAGCACCGATAGTTATCAGGTCGCCGCCCATGAGATAAAAGAGATCCTCCCCCGTGCTCCCTCTTCTTCACCTCCCATCATTTCCGTAACCTTTGAAGCTACATGAAATAGTTAGGATCTTTGTTCCCTTATCAACATCAGCTAGCCATCATGCTTGAAGCGCTTCTCTCCCTCTCAGGCCTGACACTCCTATCAACCTCCGTTTTCACCTCCTGGTCCACATCGCTCAACCTACTGTTCTTCTATCTCACCTGGTCCACTCTCCTACTCTCCCAAGCGCCGCTCAAGATTGAGGTTCTCGGTACTCTTGCCGTCCGCCTCATCTTCTTTTGGATCCCCTCGCTGCTCTTCCTCCTCTTTGACACGCTCCTCCCCAGTCTCTCACAGGACTTTAAGATTCGTGGTGCGGCGGCACTCCCGAACCCGAGAAAGTCGTGGAAAGTCGTCGCATGGGCAATGTTCAACATGCTGCTTGGCGCAGGGATCCAGGCAGCAGTGGAGACGTTCCTGATCGACGGAATACACTGGAAGAGCGCGCTACGGGTGTCAAATGCGTTACCGATGCCGGGTGGGGTCGCGCTGGACCTTTTGAAGGCCTTTTTGTTGCGTGAGGTTAGTATCTAATTATTTAGGCAGACATGCGGCTACGCAGGGGTTTTGCAGAGGTACTCATTAACGATGTGTGTGTGTGGTTAATAGGTTCTCCAGTATTACATTCACCGGTTCGTCCTACACCAAGGCGGAGAGCTTCCTCAACATTTACATATGAAATGGCAGCACTCGGTGGCATCGCCGTGGGCCGCGGTCGCACATTACGATCATCCACTACCATGGCTGCTGTGGAAGTTTTTACCTGTCTATCTGCCAGCTGTAAGATACACCTGACGATTATGTAGTTAGTAGGCACTAGATACTGATGGGTGGGGTGCTGCAGGTGATATTTAGATTCCACATCTTGACGTACTTCCTCTTTCTGGCGGTGGTTTCTCTAGAAGAGGCGGGCGCTTTCAGTGGGTATACGGCCTTGTTCTTTTCGGCGCTTATGAGCGGCGCTGGGAGGAGGGTTGAAAAGCATTTTGGCAGCAAGGGGAAGGTACGTATTGGCTTCGAGATGATTTAAGGAATGAGTATTGACTGGGATTAGGGCAACTTTTCGACCTGGGGCGTCATGGATTGGATCCATGGGACAACTCTACGTAGCAGTGCTAGTGAGGGAAAGGCAAGGGGAAGGGGTAGTAGGAGCAGGTCAAGTCGAAGGGAGTAGTTGGCAGCTATCTTCTGGAAATTATTTACGATACTGAAACCTTTCCCGGAGGGCAAGGTGTGCTTTCTTTTAATTTCTAGGGTTTTTTTTATGCTTTGTTTATTTGGGTAGAGTACATACAACTATAATAAGTGATTAATAGCGAAGACATATATCATTTTACGGTAAACAAATTCCGAGTGAATGTAGCCCACAAGGCTGAGGTATTTTAAAACTTTGTGGCTTCGGCTCAACGCTCTTGAGATAAAGCCGGAGCATTCACGGGACAGTGTTTTAAAACTCTAGATTGCACTTATTAACGATGTTGTGCCCTAGGCTCCAGTGTTTTGGGTCTTAACAGTTTTGTAGTTCAGCCGGTTTTCTTGAGCTTATTGTTGATTTTCCACCCCGCATCGCATACCCGGTGCATACTTGTACTTGCATGATCTACATAAGTACTCGGTAGTAGTAGAATATAAATGTAGTAGAATAGAAAATACAATGTAGTTGAAGTACATGAAGTTACGCAAGTACAACATGCAGGTATATTGACCACACATACATGTAGCTTGCAAATCGCTGAGAATCGAACCCAACAGCCATTTGTGAAACTTGTATGTACTTGAGTCTTCAATCCCTCGCTCAGTACCTGTCCTGTCATACAATCCCAGCATCTTCTGATCACAAGGATGTCCATTCTGACTGGTTGAAACCACCTTTTCCGAATGCCCTACCGCCTGACATTACAGTGCTGACACACATGTCTCAGATGGCCAGCTTAGATTCGACTACACGCCATCCACTTGACTTCACGCCCTCTCCCTCTAATACTAGGGCTGTATCGAACCTTTGATATAGCTGGTCAACAGATGCAATCATGGCTGATATCAGGGCTGTAACTGCTCCCTAGGAACCTGGTATGTATATAGCCACTCTATTAATTCCTCACACATCCACACCCGCACAGTGCCTTAACTGATACGCTATAACAGGCACCGAGATAACGTACATTGCATAGATGGGACACCGATGAACAAACAGATATTCCCAACACCTATCAATACTCTATCTAAAGACCAGACGAAACCGACCCAAGCAGTAGAATGTACCTTTTTACGAGGGTTTCCCCAGGTCTCAAACTCTAGCCCGACGTACCAGCTCGTGGTAACCAGGATGGACAACTGTCTTTGCAAGGATGTCTTCATTGCCGAAGAATCCCTGCGCCCCGCAAAGCTGGCAAAAAGGTGACGCAGCTCCTGTAGCACATCGCGGTCGTCACAAGGTGAATGCCATGTTCTGAGTGGACAAACGTTGATGGTGGTGGTCGTGGTGGCTATGGATGAAAGGGATGATCGGCCATTAGCTAGAGGAGAGTGGATCTCCTACCATATCATCCATCACTCACCTTGTCAGGCACCAGCTGGCTAGTTGGGTAGGGAGGAATAGAGTAGGTAGAGTGAAGGGAGCGCTGCCCAGGGCTGGACAGAGGACTATAATATGTGCCTGATCCCACCCAGGCCGCTTCTCTCTCTCCTAACATACTTAAGAATTTCAAAAAAAATACACCCAAATGTGCAGCTGGGTCACTGGTCTCCTCTCTAACATCCGCCACAAAGTCGGCCTCGGCTCACGCGTATCAACCCCGGTGCGCAAAGGGCAGGAAGTCTGGCTCCTCGACAATACCGCCTTCCGGTCTCCAACCAACCCTCACCAATGGCACGCCGAGTTCGTTGCCGCATACTTCAGTGAAGACTCTGGCAAGGATGCCTCGCTGGTTGTTGCGGACATTGTCGAAAAGCTCGGGATTGCCGGTAAAGGTGATGCCGAGGCGGAGCGCAGGATAGCGGAGCGCGTGGAGCCGTTCTTGAATCTGATTCTTGCGGCGAAGACTGTTGAGGTTGACTTTGCCGGTGGTCAGGGACGACTGAGGTTAGGGCCCGCGGCGGGACATGGTATCAGTGTGAATGAGTTGCCCTTACCAGGGAAGGGGTGGGTGGACGACCGGGTTGTAGAAAGTCGTGCAGTGCTCGTAGAGGGGGGTGAGAGTATGAGAACCGCCTTTGCAGATCCAGAGGGATGGGGCGTTATCTCTGGTATGTCCTCCTAGCTGTTTACCACTATTACAATATAATATTCATGATAGCTAACGGTATTGTAGACATCGACGACACCATCAAAGTTTCAGAAGTTCGTGACCGCCTCGCCCTTCTTCGTCACACCTTCGCAGAGCTTCCCGAAGCTGTCCCGGGAATGCCGCAGCTGTACCAATATATCCAGACCGCGCTTGGAAAGCCCGTATGGTTCTATCTCTCTGCTTCGCCATACAACCTCTACCCTATGCTCCGCTCCTTCACATCAGACTACTACCCCCGCGGTCAGCTGATCTTGAGAGAGATGAGCTGGATGGAGCTTGAGAGCTTCATTGTGAGCTTGACAGTTGGCACGCAGAAGTACAAGGAGGAGCGTATGAGGACTGTTATGAAGTGGCTCCCGATGAGGAAATGGGTCCTGATTGGCGATAGCACGCAGACAGACCCCGAAGCTTATGCAAGCCTGTAAGTAGTCTTAGCTTTGTATTTTCTTGGAAATGAGTGTTAATATTGAACTTTTGCAGTTACAAATTGCATCCAGATAAGGTGAGGGCAATATTCATCAGGAGAGTTCAGGGAGTCAATGAGGCGAAAGAGAAGGACCTAAACAGCGACACGAGGTTTGAGACGGCGTTTAAGGGTATTCCCAAAACTGTGTGGAGGGTATTCAATGACCCAGCAGAACTGAATGAGGCTGTTAATGCGTTGACGAGTACGTGATTTGTTTTCGGGATGCGTAGAGAATGACTTGTTTCTGTACTATCTGTTGGAGCGGCTGTTTCGTTTTGGCTCGGTTTCATGGCAGGGGTTTGTTTTGTTTTAGGTTTTTACATGATGATAATGAACATATATACTCTCTCTCTCAGTGCGTACTCAGTAGTTGGTTTTCAAGTGCCCTCCATGTGCCATGCATCGCCGTCGTCAGAGCTATGTACTATACTTCATTAATGTGAAATAACTATGATGTCCATCTCTTTCTTTATTACTACGCTGTAGAGTGTTAAGCGCACCGCTGCATGGGAAGTACATTATATGATGATGTAGGAATCTTTTATCTAAAATCCAAAGTCACGATAGATCTCATCTTCATCTGCTTCCACCGCAGATCTTACCTCCTCCTCTTCCTCTTTCGAGATTCTAGCCGCTTTCTCTAACGCGGACCTTATACTATCCTCTTCTCTTACTGATTTCTTGGCCTCTTCGACTCTGGGGTTGAGATCGGATACAGTGACGGAGGCTTTATTCAAAATAGTACTCTCAATTCCGGTAGGCGTAGATACTGTTTCTTCTATTTCTTCCATTACTTTGAGTTGCTCGAGATCGGATAATCCCTGATGCGGGTTGGCCTCATTGTTAGTTTGGGATACTGCCGAACCTTCTGCTGGAATAGTACCCAGCAATCCGGAAGGTGCGAATACTGTCTTATCATTTTCTTGCTTCACCGGAAGAGCCTCGTCTTGCTTTATGGGCTCGTCCGATTCAGCCATGATATCATCATAATCATCAGCTGCAGCTGCAGCTTCATCATCTTCCTCTTTTTCCTCTTCTTCTTCGGACTCATCCTGAACCATTTTACTGTCCATATCATGGTCACTCCATTCCTCCTCATCGTCCTCATCCGCATCTGAGCCCAAGCCTCGTTCACTTTCTACGTAACCCTCGTCTCCTTCCTCGCCAGGATAGAAGAAACAATTTTCGTCAACGTCTGACTCTTCGTCGTCCCCACCGATATCCCAATCTTGGGCGTTTCCCACAGCAGCATCCCAATCGTTGGAGTTTCCTTCCATAATCTCACCGTCCTCCATTTCCTCATCATCTTGTAAATTAATTGTTTCTGGTATATCGGCTCCGGTAGCGGTGTCTTCTTCGCTATCGCTATCAATCAGAATGACCTCAACTCGCTTCTTCTTTTGCTTAGGCATTGTTTCCGTCTTCTTCGTCTTTTCTCCTTCCAATTTCCTCCGTTCTTCATGTCGAACAAAGATTGGCCGCGGACGATTAACAGGGGGATGAGTGATGAAAAATCCTTGCTCAATGTTTTGTTGCCATTGGGTTTTGGGTGGATCCGGCCTTCTATGGGGATTTTGCTGTGGTATTACTCTTTCTCCGGTGATGGGCTTAGCAACCTGAGCAACCTGAGCTCCCGTCTTCTGCCAGCGCTTCACTACAGCATTAACCTCCCCCCAGATCTGGGACTTAATTCTCCGGACTGCCTTTGCTGGAGCCCTTTGCCCCTCATGTTTGCTGGCTTCGTCTCGCAATCTTTTCTCGTAGCTGGTATGGCAGTGACGGACATGGGCAACAACTGCAAGTCGGACCTTTTGCTCCATAGTCAACTTTTTTGTGCGACCGACCCTACCTGAGCTCTAATAATTTATTAGCTATGTACTGGTTCCATTGCACAATCAATTGGGGTCAACGACAAGCAACGATTCTTGTCAGTTAAAACAGGCGTGCCCACTAAGGGCCCCATTTCTTATCTGATTGTCAAAATCTGTCCTTTCGCTGCTGAACCCCGCTTGTTTGTGAACTTGTGCTTGAAATAATTACTTTTTGCCAAGCTCTTTGCAAAATCTCGTCACTGACCCCAGGCGGTAGATTTGGGAATAGCTTTAATAAACATTCCAAAGCCTCGTCATTCTCTTTTTTGTCAATCTTCGCAACTATTGCATTCCTTTGAGTTCTGGTTGCCTCCTCGTTTGCAATGACCGTTTCATATATCTCCTTCGGCACTTGGATACCTTTTCCTTTGGGATGATCGATCTTCCATACGTTCCTACCAGATTGTAGGGTCAAGCGTCTGCAATTGAGGGTAATGTACCTGCTTCCTGCCGGAACAAAGACGTAACCCTCAGCTTTTATCTTGTGAGGCGCGTGATGGGAGAGCTGTAATATCAATGAACTACAATTCATGAGTAAAAGATCTCTGAGAGGAAACCTACCACTTCTACTCCGGTGTGATCTACAGGCTTCTTTATTTTGTTAGGATGTCGCCGTAGCCCCTTTGCTACCTGTTGCTTGACCTTTTCTACCGGGTCCAAGTTACTGGGCTTCTGTGTGTTCTGCCCGGTAGACTTTTTTCTCGTTGCTGGGGCTGCAACAGCGGGCTCCTTCTGTCCAGTAGGTTTTTCCCCCTCTGCCTGAGCAGCAGCAGCGGCCTGTCTTTTTTTTTCTCGCTCAAGCCTCTTCTTTGCTCTTCTTGACTTCGCATTTTTTTTCTTCGCTTTTGCCTTCTTGCCGTCGCGTTCTGATGCATCTGCTGAGGGATTCGGAGAGCGTTCTCTCTTCCTAGAGGACCCGCCACGCTTCAAATCGGGCATTGTCTGTCAGGCTCATCAGTTATTCGCTGCACATTGCTCTTGGGGGTAAAGATATCTATCGGATTACCTACTGTCACTCTCTGGAGAGTTAGTGTAGACTTTGGTGGGGGAAGGTGGGAGACGACGTTGGTTGTAAGTTTTAGCCGATAAATTACAGTGTCCCATGCTGGTAATTTGTGTGCACGTGACGATAACAGATTAAGCACACGTTACAAACCTAACCCTATGGCTCTGCCAAAGCTCCTCTTAGACGTTACATGGCCGCAAGAGTTTATTTAGCGTCAATGATTCCGTTATTATCTTGTTCTTGGTAAAAACGAATCGGAGGTTCCTGCACAAACTTTATCATCAGTAACTACAAGTTGTCAGTAAGGTGGCCAGCGGAGAACGATTTGGACAGGCCGGATAGTTGATCAAAGTAGGCGATCAAATGCAACCTAACCCCGAAACGCAAACCCGTTGGAGTTTATGCTACTACCTTACAGCCTGTAGCTGGCTTACAGCATTGATTTTTCAATTGGGGCCCATTAACCACATAAAACCATCCCTTTAACTAATTGAATCCATCAAGATGTAGGCTTTCTACTCATACATCGTATCAATATACTATTGATTGACTCTTGGAAGTTCTCGGCTTGGCCAACACTAAGGCGTCCAATAGGATTTCGGAATAGTTATTGTGGTTATCTATCAACTGGCCGTGATTCACATGTTTGTTCATCAGCAGTCGGGCCTCAGGTCCTAGAAATCTTTTCAGTTCATTGGTATACCCGGTTTTTTGCATTCAAATGATATAGGGTGGATGAAAACGGGTTACAAAAGTGTTGCACTGCACTATATACAAGGAACAAGTCTGGAAGGTAACAGCATCTCAACCGTGTGGGACTCAGCGCCCCAAATTTGAAGGTTTACTTGGTGCTAGAAATCTTAGGTGATGTGCTTCTATATAGGTCTCAAACTGACGCTAGATGGAATATCCTATCAAGGCCAACTAAGTTACTAACTGCCAAATCTTCCAGTACCACTCGATTCGTATAGGTATTTCCCTCAAGTTCAGCACTGCAGGAGCATCTTTAGGCTGTTGCTCCTCAGCTATAATTGTATAAACAAGCATTCATAGATAGTTATAAATTTCACCGTCTGAATTACGTTAACTACTACTGTGAGCCCAAGATGCAACTGCGGCGCATGCGCCAAATAAGGAAGTTCGACATGTGCCTCGGCGGCATTTACCCTACACCCCACCTCTTGCGTCAACTAAGTTCGTTGGACAACGATCGATTCAAGCTTAAATTAAGCTCCTCTTCTCGGAGGCATCCGAGGTACCCTGTTTGGAGGATTCGGGTGAGATGCTGGCCCTTGCGGAGATTATTAACGGTTAAAGACGGGGTAACGCCCGATAGACTAAGACTAAGATGAAGTCTTGAAAGACTTGATGATATCGGGACCTGATTAGACGTTTTATCTCCTTCTCAGATGCCGAAATAATAATCCACCCTCGGTTTTTGTTTGGTCGATGACGATATCTGGCCAGCTCCAGGAAGCAGCTCCAAGATAAACCAACCATTTGGTTTTCCTAAACTGAAATCTCGGGGGCGAAATCGCATACTTGGCCTGGGAGTATGAATGTTTACAGCTAGGCCAGCCACTTTATACCATGGTTACGGTAACTTCCTTCCGTTTAAAATAGCGGGGCCGGCCGTTGTTTGTGGCATGTAACTGTAGGACCCGGAAGCGATCTACACCAAGATTTGGAATGCATGATTATTCGAGCCCCAACCTCAGCCAACCACCTACTCCATGTATCCTAGAGATACTCTTGGCCTACTGCGGACAGCACCGCGGATTATCTCTCATCTCTGAGAATTGATATTGCAGAATAGTACCATGATCAATTTTGGCAGGTCGGTTTTGCTCAGGGGAACAATTATGCACCAGCTAGAAAATATATAAAGTTCGATGGCTCTTTCCACGAAATTGTCCTGCAGCTCCTCCACATTCTTCAAGCAAGTCTCAGTGATCTCGCATTTCTACCAAAATGAAGTTCCTTTCAGTAGCCGCCACTGCTTTGTTAGCTGCAGCTCTCGATTCCGCCCTGGGCGGAGAGATTGCCAATCCAGCCCGGCAGGAAAACTATGATTCTGGTGAAATGCACATGATGATCATGGGCAACAAGAGACACAGTTTCGACATCCATCGGGAGACAGGTGCATACAACTCGTCGGCATATCCTAAAATCACGAAATATAGCCCCTGCGTTGATGGCATGGCTGCAGGGCAGTTCAGGTGTAAGAACGTGGACTTGGCATACTTTGCATCTCATGCAGACCTGGGAAGTATTACTGGTGAGGGAAGTAGTAGCTGGGGATGGACTTCTCCCGATGGTCGAGAGTTTATCATCGTTGCACAGGTAGCTATTCTTAATCCTTATTTTGTGTACTATAACCTTCAAGTTGATCGTTTAATTAACATTTCCAGGCCGACGGTGCTTCATTCTCTGAAGTACTACCCAATGGTCACTTGGACTATCTTGGGAGACTTCCCCAACAGAGCACTCCCGAAATCTGGCGTGGTATGTTCCTGAATGCCTTCTCATATCCTGTGTACCCCCATGCTAACGTCTAGTAGAAATCCGTGTCATGGACAATTACGCCGTCATCGGTTCTGAAGCTGTCGACCATTATGTCCAAATCTTTGACATGAGAAAACTTCTGAAGATTAAAAAGAACCAAAAGCCTAAAACTTTTAGCACCTCCAAGGATCTCACTAGTCTGTTCACCGGGCTTCCCATCGGAAGAACTCACAATATCGTTGTCAACAACGACCTGAAGTATGCCGTAGCAGTAAGTACTTTTTCTCGGGATATATATCTTCAACAGGCTCTGATAAATCATCGAAAAGGTCGGCGCCGCGCCTCGTAACAGCACCTGTAAATCTGGGCTAATTTTTATCGACCTCACCAACCCCTCAAACCCCACTAGCCCTGGGTGTGCTGAACAAGACGGATACGTCCACGACGCACAGTGCCTTCTTTACAAAGGCCCCGATACTCGCTACCACGGAAGGGATATCTGCTATGGTTACAACGAGGATACCCTCACTATGTATGCAACTCCACCACACCCGATAACCTCTTTACATAATAACTAATATCCCATAGCTACGATGTGACCAATAAGAAGAACACAACAATTATTTCCCGTACAGGGTATACTGGTGCCAGTTACACACATCAGGGCTGGCTTCTAGACACTGAGAACCAAGAGTACCTTATCATGGATGACGAATACGATGAATACGATGCCGTTGGCCCTGCAGCTGATGGATTCCCAGTAACTTATATCTGGGATATCAAGGACCTGACTGCGCCCAAACAAACTGGGTACTACAAATCAGGCCAGGTTTCAATCGACCACAACCAATATGTAGCGAACGGAAAGGCCTACCAGTCAAACTACGGTGCTGGTTTGAGAATTTTGGATGTTTCAAGCATTCCATCTGATCCCACTGGTGCAGGTGTGAAGGAGATCGGTTTCTTCGATGGTGAGTTTCCTTTTAAATTAATATTCAGCTAGATGTTAGTGACTAACAAGGTACTAGTTTACCCCGAGGACGACAATGAACCTAGAAATGGTGTATTGGACTTTGTGGGGTCGTGGTCATCTTACGCACTGTTCAAGAGCGGGTGGATTGTAGTAAATACTATTGAGAGGGGTGCATTCGTTGTTAAGTACACGGGATCATGATTTATGCTATCATTTTGTTTTTTTGGTGGGGTCATGTAAACACCTATCTTTTATGCATATTCATGAGGGACGCATATATATAGGCGCATCTAGTCTTTGAGCGGAAGAACATTTAAATCTATTAGACTGCCTAATTTCAAAACATAAAACTGAATTGTAGGACAAAAGTTATATTCCGGTATGGGGTGACGACGAGTGATTGAGAATGATTGATCTCATTTTTACTAGTAATGGTAGTAATGGAACAGGAATTAAAGAATGTCAAAACTCAAACGAACTTCCCCACCTCGTCTTTCCTTACTTACCTGCTTGCTTATCTATTGACCCCCGAAGTTCTAGTAAAGCAGGCTAGGAGCATGTTACCGAAAAGTTTGCCGTAACAGGACATTCCGCACTAGAAACCTCCTTTCAGACGCTGCTCCGTGTGTCGCGCTGGCTTAGTTCTAACCCCTCTAGCCTGAGTAACAGGATCACCCCTTTCACGCACTTACATACTCTATCAGGATGTCTCACTCCCGAAACCGCAAGTCCCACCAAAGCCTCGAGATTTGTTAGCTCACTCCCATCACTACTTTTAACGGGAAATAAGGCTGCGTATCAATGATTTCGAGCAGTTTTCCTTCGTAATATATATTACACTCAGTCAGATATTTAGCTTTTGAAATCTGCTTATCAATAGATTTGAGTTCTGGCATACAAAAGCCCCTTTGAAACCTAATACTATACGACTATAAGCTAAATAATCACGTCAGATACCGACCATTTCAAATGAAAATTGCAATACTCACCTATCTCGGCCACCCTTATACCTAAGACCTCTCTCCTCAATCTTTTACCTCTCCAACCCACATTCACAACAGAAAAACCAACATCATATCATCATCCTATCTCCACTACAAATACTTACAATTAACCTAGCCATGAACTCAGCCAGTGCCATGCATTCTTCCGTTGTGCGTACCTTAATTCTCCAGAAGTCAAAGGAATAACAGCACTAACACCTCCCTAGTCCCCTCCCATAGGAGTTTCTCATTCTCTCATGGACAAATTCTTCGTTCTCGCCGACGAGCGTAGTCCCCGTTATTCCTCCCTTTGGACTTATCATCTCAATCGCATCAGGATCATCTGCAACCCACAAAACGCCCAAAATCTATTCGGGGTTCCTGACGAATTCTGTGCAAATATGCTTAGATATCCGTTCATGCCCGAGGGTATTATCAAACATAAAGTGGCTGCAGCGGTTGCTGAGAATGAACGTCAGAATATGGGGAGCTCCTCGGGATGATCGAGGAGGATGGTGCGAGAGATCGGCAGGAGGCTGAGGCCGTTGCCGAAAGGAAGCGGAAAGAGAGTGAGCAGGGTTGTGAGATTGAGAGGGTGGTTAATGAATACACCGAGGACTGCGCTGAAGGGAGCGATTTCGATGATTTTTCTTTCTTTCTTATTTTTTGTCATTCTTATGCCCGCACCGGTTGAGACGGCTAGTCAAAAGAAAGCATTATTTGATGTTTTACGCCAAAATGTTCCAAGTTGGATATGTGACTGTTTTGTTTTGTTTTGTTTTGTTTTGTGCATTGTTTAAATTGTACTGTGAGAGGTGGCGGAGGCAGACGGGAGGTTTAGGGGTCCTGCGCGATATTAATGCCATAACCATAGGGTTGCATGCAATTAATGGAAAAGTTGGATGTGTCATGAGATATCACTCGGTCCATGCCAAAATCTGCGCCGAGTTAGCCATTCCCTATTACACTGCCCTTCAGTCTTGCCGCATACATACGTATATACCCATGAATATTATTCTTTTTTTTTTCCATTTACAGTTCTTAGATGAAACCCCACGGTTTCTTTTCTAATCCCCTATGTAAACCCCCCCCCCCCCCCCCCCCCCCCCCCCCCCCCAAACGACCACAACAATCATTAGGATCAACTTAACCACAAGATGGAAGCTGGACCGTTAGTATAGGATATCCTCCGGCCACCGACATCGCCGGCGCTACGTGGTAGTGGGGAACAGCAAAATGTATTCATTTCTGGTACCAAGTGTTTCGGGCGATTTCGAGAAACAGGTTCTGGAACATCAGCGTGATATATTCCCCCGACTTTTCATCGTTACTACTTACCGTCACGAAAGAATACCTATTATATTCCTAACGAAAACATGGCGCCCTCGTTCCTTTGTGGTAAACCCAAGTCTTTATAGCTAGTTTATAATCAACAGCCCTTGGGACTTCATACGGAATACATGTACTCTAGCTTGCAGCACGTGGTAGCGCGATACAGAACCCCATGCCTAACCACAAGTGTAATGTCCAAAGTTCTCATAGAGATTTAAGTCATGATATTATCTAAGTATATAATCATGACTACTAAAGGAAATTCCTGTTTTTCCTTTATGACATTACAATATAACCCCGAGCCCCAAGTTTAGAGAAGAAAAAAAAAGTAAAGGAACGAAACGAAACGAAAGGGAAACACCATTTACAACCCTTCCCTTCCAACAGTTGGTCGATGATCTGCATATCCGTATTGATATTCGCCGCTTGCCCGCCCTCATCCTCATCTGTCATACTCACCTCCCTCATTACCGAGGCGGGCACGTGCTCGGTATAGTATGAATGTGAACCGTCCTCGTTTTCTTCGACATGAAAAGTCGGAATACTGTTGACCCTTCGGTGCAAGATCCACGATAGTACCGCAGTAGCAACAAGTAAGAATCTATACGATATCCGTCAATATATATCTCAAAATCCACCATAGAACCAATTAAAGACTTACATCAAAATAATAGCCAGTGCCCAAACAATTTTCATGGTGATGCACACTCTCTTTACCCTCCCAACCCACTGGTCATAGTCCCCTAACTTGTTCCATACTTCCTCTCTTGTCTTCCCAAGTGCCGGGAGTCCTTCGACTCCCTGCAACCCGTCAACATCATGGACTTTTTTGAACTTTTTTGCCGCATCTGTAATATTCTTATAAACCCCGTCGCCCTCCAAGCCCATTCCCTCGACGGAGTAAAGCACATCTCCAAGGGAAGTGATGTGTTCATTGAAATCCCCAACTACCCCGCAATTAAGGCGTGTCAGCGGGCGCCCGACTAGAATAGCCATGACAATCACAAGAACCGCAAGGACACCGTCCACGATGGTATTAGCGAAGTAAGGGAGAGCGCCGCAGATATGCCATAGTACTGCGGTAGCTGCGCAGACTGCTGATAATACTGACTATGTGCGCGTTAGCATGTGCGCATTCTGGAATTAAAGCATTGGGGCGTTATTTACAATTGCAAGAGCATATGCTATGGGTGCTGCCTGTTTCGGTGCGTCCAGACGGTTTATCTCAGCAGCGGGAAGGGAACAGAGGCCTACTATAGCAACGAAGCAGAAAAACTGGAGGGCGCGGATGGCTGTGAACGAGTAACCGAATCGGCCGCGTCTGATGGCCATCTTGTGAGTTGGTGATAATATGAAGACTGCTAATTAATATTGGTTGGTGATGATCGATATCCAATCAAGAATGTGTGGGGGTCGTAAAATTTCAGGATGCGTTTTTCTTTAAGGGTTTGGGAGTGAAGGAATTTGAACGGGCGGGGGGGGTGCCCTGTGATATATATTCAAACTACCTCGATTTCTGCTTATTTCTCACCAAACAAGCGGCTATGCATAGGGCATATCATGATGATCCATCCTGTCGGCCCTTGCAATGTTGCTTGTTCTGACTGGGTGGGAGTGACATGAGCCAAGCTAGTTTAATACTGGCAGTAGACGATCAAGCACTGTTTGGTAAGAAATTAGATGAAACAGTAACTAACGTTAACTATTCGAGGAGAAATCGACATAGCCTCCCAATTTTAGAAAGCCTTGGCCATGGCTTATATTTGTGGCGTTCTCATAATGTCTCAAAGATCTCGCTAGAAAATAATGTACCACTTCCTGTAACAAAAGACTTGCAAAACTAACAATAACCTTTCAACACTTTTATTTTATGCTCAATCCATTTACGCTTCTTTTTGTATATGTTTATTTCACTCTCAGGTTCACATATCATCACTCGCGGAACTGACCAGTCAATGATCATCGTCGTAAAACGTTTATTGTGTTTATGTAAGCGAGATCAATTGATCAAACATTTCATCCAATTTCCATTTGAACACTTTCATGCGTGCACGTGTTGACACCGTAACCTCTCTTTTTTGAAGATGATATTTAACCAGTCCAGACTGTCATACCAAAAGATTAGTATTTTGCCACATCCAGGGTTACAAGAATCACTTACCGGCAGGTCCAGGGATAGGATAGGATGCTGTCCCAGTAGTGTAGATGTCGTAAACCACACCTGGAGTGCTGGCGGTATAGACTCCCGGAATGCTCACAAAGCTGGTTGGAAATCCGGTTCCGCTTCCACTGACGGTTACTTGGAAACAACTAGGATAGAACTGCGCTCCCGGGCTTTAAATTAATAGGTTAGTTTTGTGTTTTCTTCGTGTACTAAGACTTGGTGAGAGATTACTATGAGTAGGCTGGAGTAAAGTATTAGTATTTGTTTTCAACGCTTATTGTTCATGGAAGCTGTAACTCACCACTGTGTAGAGCAATAATTTCATGGCGGACAATATAGTTCCCAGGCTTTAGTGTACTAGGGATCTTGAATGTATATGGAACATTTGTTTCCAGAGGGGTCTGTATACCACCTGTGAGATATCATATCCCAGGCCAGTCAGAAAAGAATCCAAGGTTTACTTACGGATCCCCACGTGGTTCCAGACTTTCCGGTCTCGGCGACCTTGAACCAGACAGCACTACACAATTATCAACAACAGTGATCTATAGGAGGATACAAGTGCACTTACGCAGTGCCCGGCATATAGTCTGTGCAGCTTGAGGGGCATTTTGCCATATATGTTATGACCGGTCCCTAAAGGCATTCAGTTGTCAAACTACTAGGCGGTTTCGCATCAGTTGAAGTTGAAAAATACCTTGTGAGAATCGGGCCTATATAACACGTTAGCACTCAAAGCCCCCAAGATATTCAGAGGTATTCATACCATTGAGTCCACAGCAAACTAACAGTGGAACCTGGTGTAACCGGTGCCGTCAAAGCAGCCGGTGCAGAACCCACAATCCCACCAGCAGTATACCCACCACACTGCAAATCAATCAGAGTCACATCTTCAACAGGTCCATTCCCATTGATTTTTCTGAAGATTCTTGAGGGAGGGGTGCTATAGTAAGGATCACTGTACGGGAGGTAGCCAGAGTAGACGACGTTGTCTATGGTATTGTTAGCTTGGAAAGGTCGGAAGACGTAAAGAGGATGTACCAATTGTAGCCTGGCTGACATACCCGTGCCCGGATACGAGGCCAGCAGTAAATGCGAGGAGGGAAACAATGGCGACCTTCATTTTGAAGTTGGATCAAGTCAAGATGATCTGGAGAGGCTATATCTTAGAGGGATAGTTGCCATTTTATACTTCTTTTCATAACCTCGTCAGAGGGAGCATCGTCAAAACCTTGGCTTGAGAAGAATTATGTAGTTAATCTTTTAAGGGCAATATACACCTCCCAATTCCGGCCGGCGGTGGTACGAGTTCAGACAGAAATTAAATGTTTCTTCTCCTTAACCATAAAATGTGAGGGCTCCGGGAGTCTCGGGAAGTGTTTAAACATATATTGATGCATGACCTGAGTTTGGGGACGCACCAAACTCCGTCCTCAACGCCCTGCACTGGCAGATTGTAACCTTGGTACTCGCCTATATATCTGTCGTACCGCTGTCGGAGTTTAAGAGAGTCATGGTAGGTGACACGAGCGTTTAAGCTTAACGGTACCGAAGGAAACCCTTCCGATACGCTCCTTCCCCACATCTTGAGAATAAGCATATTTAGGCGGAGTCGATTCCCGGGGTGCCGGCATACCCAATGGTCTGAGCTCCGGCGGGGGTCCCATGGCCTGTCAGCTTTAGGATTAATAAGCCGTCTATTCAACTGCACTCTTGCTATCGGTATCGGAACCCGATGCTGTGATAATAGAAATTGTTTATAGGTACATGTTTCGTTTGGATAGTAAAACATGCATATGCACGAATACTCCAGTAGAGCGGTATAATGATCCTTGTAGTCTCTGTTCTTTCAAGTTAGATCAAGAGTCAATCGAATTTTGAGTGGTAAAGCCAGAAAACCGTATTAGCCCGTGTGTTTGAATTGTTATCAGTCTCCTTGTTTCCTACACAAGATATAACTCTAAATTCGTGATTTTAATTTGGAGGATTCCAGTGCTCGAATACACGTATTTATTAGAAAATCCGGAAAGAGATCTTTGTAACTGTTTGCCTCTTCCTTAAGTGTAGTACTGTATTTCAATTAACTGTATCGTCTGAGCAGTAGGAAATAATTGAGGTAATGTACTAGGACTGAAGGGAAAAAACCAATCAACAATCCACCAAAATCAATCTTGAAGGTAAATTCTCTCAGGCGGAGATACTGTACCCAATTCCGAGAGATGTGGCTCTTGATTATGGTAAGATGGCGTTGATGTAACTGATAAAGTCTTAGAACTCCTAATATACCTTCGACCATCTCTCGGCTTCGACAGTGTTCCATCCGCTATTCGGGCTATCGAAAGGCCGACGTAATTAATTCAAACTTTTGCAATACTCAACATCTTTATTTATTCAGTCACCAGACCCAGAATCATGCACCTGGCTTATTTTCTTTGGTTCTAGGGTCTGCATCGTTTAACAGGAGCATCCCTAGTAATGGAGTGCATTCCAGTATCAGAAATCAGAAGCACATGTCAGAAGATCAAAGCGGAGCTGATTGTGAGGTTCCTTTCGAAAGCTCATATATCCTCGGTCTGAACGACTTAGGAAAGTACTCGATTCAATGTATGAAACCGGTTTTATTGATAAATCATCCTCTGCGGTCCTGATGTCAGGATACTCTTAAGGTTCCATCAGACTTGTTGAGTATTCGCTCGGTCCACTCTCCCGGATTCTGTTACCAGCAAATTCCCAGTCAGAATCGAATGGAAAGCTCCTTCAGGTATTATATGGTTATTGCTGTAGAATGTATTTAACCATGATCAGTGCAGGAAGGTCCAAGTGAATTAGGAGTCTGGTTTCCTACACATTATTGTAGCCGCTACATGTGATGTATTTCAGACTAGAGCTGCTGCCTTATATAATTATCGTCGTTTTGGAGCATTTCAGAAACCGCAGATAGGAGAATACATTAAAATCATCGATATTATAACTAGGTTTGGCGTAGGCGTAGGTGTTTTCGAGAAAACTAGGAATCGTGCTGGTTTATAGGTTAGTCCATTATGGCAGCTCCCGGCCTACCCGCCTTTACTAAACAGCATCTTCGGCCTTATGTAGCTTTATCCCCTATGAACTTGTAAACATGTTAACTCGTTCTGTCATACATTGCCGTCTCCGTCGTGCACAGCCATCAAGACTTAGCTGGCTCGATCGTCGCAGCTGTAAAGCTTGAACTACCCATTCGGTTTAGAGCAGCTAGTTACTGAACGCTGGAAAGATCACCATGTGAATGGTGCGCTCAAGCCAAACTTGACATCTGCAATATTTCAAAGGCCCCACTATTCCCGGGACGCTATATGGATGATAGGTGATAAAATGGTAAGTTGCGTTTGATGAAATCAATCAAGAGCCCAACTCACAGTTAGTACGAGAAGAGCAGTTGCAGAACACCCTGAACGCCACGAATCCACCGGCGGTCTTTGTCGAAACGCAGTGGCCGACGAAAACGAACTTGCCACTTACGAAGGATATTTTGTAAACTGGGAATCTGTTATGTACCAAAGGGTGACCGTTTCGAGTGTTCGAAAGACGCGAAACGCTGGTTTCGAAAACGAAAGAGAGGGATGACGTTAAAATTAAAAGAGATCGCTGGAAGTCGCTGGGCTTGCTTGGTCCTTCTGAGCGCGCATATTCAAGCTAGTGGAACCCTAAAACGCAAAGGTTCGGATTCAAAAGAAGCTTCGGAATGCCGTTCACATAACCCCCATCTCACAAGTAGCATTATCGGTCTAAGTAATTACAGGAGCGTAGTGCCTAGCTACCTTCACAAGTCATGACAGCTGAGAGGACAGCCATAAACCTGAGGCGCCTCAAACAACATCCTGTATGTATGAACCCAAGCTGCAATGTTCAATGCACGTTTACAGGCATCCATTGAATCCTATCTTTAGTATTTACACGATCATCAGCATCACCACACAGCCACGATGCCTAAATCCACAATTCTTATCCTACTGTGGTAGGGCCGAGATCTCCTGCCCAGACCAAAATTTTACGCATGGCAGCACATAACTACAATGTTCGCTTAACCGGCCGTCGTTCCATCTTGAGTAAATACGCGTTTATACTTCACTCTGTGGCTATGAGCGCCTCCGATTCTCCGGTGCAGCGTTTCATCAAGCGAAATCGTTCCGAGATTCGCATCTGCCACCCATTGAGGAATCGAAGATAGATACTGCTACCTAGCCTTATAGCGAGATTATTCGGAGATCCATGGGATGAATTAACTCAAATTCTCTGCACCCGGAATTTAGGTTATGAGGACTAAATATTAAAGGAAGATCACGGTGTCAGCTCCGCCTTCTACTCTAGGCTACAGCCAGACCCGTAGGCGGAAAGAAACTCCAGATAACATCCTTGATGTAGAAAATATGTACGTTATTTATTACCAGGCGGGCGCATGGCTTTTGTTTCGATTAAAACTTCAGGACTATCGATTTGCACACGAATTTAGCTTTTCCAAGGCGAAGTCATGAATGTACTTTAGGTACATGTAGGTACCTACTAAGCAAGCGGCACCACAGGTGCCTAAGCCCTATCGCTAGTAATGGGCCTATCGGGACCCAACATGGTAGCGAACGGGTGGGGGATATAAGCATCAAAGGATAGCTAAGGAGGCTTATAGACGAAATCTGGGGCGGCTAAGTAGTACAACAGGCTTCATAGCTGGCACATGCTTGTCCATGTAGAGCAAGTCTAGCAAGTCTAGCAAGTCGCGAAAATAGAAATTTAGCTCTTTCATGGGTTGGGATTTCAATGGTCCCGAAGCCATTGGTGCAGGTAGCTCCGTTTCAAATCAATACAAAAATTAGTACAACCTTCGGTTTTTAGTCATGTTCAATTACCTTAAGCTGTCACCATTGGTACATGTATTTATCACGTAACTACTTTCAGACCACTTAGGAGGCTCTTGAATAATAGTGAAAAGTATCATAATTAACAAATAAAATAGTTACAAGTATGTTGAGCTACTGATAAGCGTAGAGTACTGATTGAAGCGGTAGAAGGTGAAAAAGGAAAAGAAAGAAAGAAAAAAAGGCCGAAAAATGAAAATAAAATGAAAATAAAATGAACCCATAAGAACCGTAACCTCCTTTTGAACACCCTAAACAATACCATATACAAACAAAGGAAAAGAAAACGAGTATGTAGTATATTCACAAAGGAGAAAATTCCACCGACCCACTAGATATTTTTCCCAAACCTCCTTGCACGCTGGAAGAGTGACCCTTTAGATGCCCTCATATCCCTGTCCTGCTGGAAGAGGGGCCCTTTAGACGCCCTCATACTCCTGCCCTGCTGCCATCCACCGCTCTCCTGTGCTGGGTACCCGGACCCGTATTCCCTCGCTGCCTCAATCGCATCCTCCACCATCCCTAAGACTTCATTCTTCTGCTGCACCATGCTATCATCTGGCACACTCGGCCAGCTTTCCCTCTCAACGTGGAAGTAATGACGGGTCAGAGGGTCTTTCAGGCCGCCCACCGACACCAACAATCCATTCAGTCTCACCGAGAAGCCCTCTGGGTCCACCAATGCCTCAGACATCAACATTTGTAAGAACCCATTCCTGGTCAACACCGGCATAAAATAACCACCACCCTCTCGTTGACCCAACCGGTATTCCCAGCAGTGGTTGTCGTACATATGAGCAACCTGTGCATCGCTCCAGGCTATGCCCTTGCCATTCGCCTTTCCCTCATCGTATATTCGCTGGAAAATGTTGTGCTGGTCATAGAATTGTAGGAGATGCATAACCAAGGTGCATTTCTCGGGTTCAAAGTGATCGGTATTTCGTGGAAATACTGGCCATATGACTCTATCATCTGCATTGTCGATATCCTCGAAGATGGCGGCGGCAAGACGAACTAGCTTTGGGGCGGCGGCTCCCCCGTTGATCATATACTCGCGAGGCCCTCCATACACGGCTTGGGGGTTATAGGGAATTTGGATATTGTACGAATGTTGGGTATTATGCGAATAGTGAGGGTTGTATGAGGCTCGGCAGTCGCCGGAGTTGGCTGAATTGTACGAAAGCTGAGAGTCCACGGAAGACTGAGAGTTAAGAGAAGAGAAAGAGCTCACTCTGAGTATCCCGGGTCTAGGGGCTGGAGTGGCTTGTAGGTATGTGTGTGACTGTATTTGGCTATGATAGTGTACTTCATGCCATGGTCGATGGTAATCCGAGACTTTGTGCTGAGAATGACAAGCCCAGCAAAGATCATATCTATGATCGTCTGCATTACAGGCAGGGTCTAAACAATGCACTATGCATTCGGCATATTCGAGAGAGTTACCGCAAAAGTCGCAGTAAACGTATTGGTTTTGGTCTCCCATTGTTGTGTGATTTTAATCGATTGATATCCAAGTCTGCAGCTGGTGGTATGAAAGTGAAGCTCGTTCTGCGGGAAAGCTCTAGTCTTATGTATTGGAAGGTTAATGTGGAGTAGATTGATTGAATTTCTTGCGCTAGCCTGTAGTGAGTACATGTATTTACGGGGAGGGAGGGAGCTTGGTGTTATATAAATCTGCCAATGATCGATATCTAGCTAACCGATATCGCGATAACCTAGAAAAAGGCCGGGTTGCATAACTGCTTGACCTTGGATGAGCTTTTTATGGCACCAACTGTTATTGCAAGGCTGGAGCTTAATTGTCCACGTAGGTACACCCAATAATCTTGGTGGGTGGGGAGCGGGGGGGCTGTGTCCAGGCATACAGAAGATATCGTAGCTAGGCATAGGCAAGTACTGCGGTACGTGATAGCAGGTATTGTACGCATGCCAAGTGATATACCCGCAAAATTATCCAAGCCTGAAGACAGTTCCAAAGCTGAAGACGACGCGGCGTAAATAGACGCAGTTGTTGATTTCTGTGGCTCTCTGCATGTTTCACGTGAATCTGCCAGGGACGCGTGTGTATCGCGTTAAAATGTTAAATGTATCGAAACATATTATTACGTACAGCCCGCTTCATACTTGTCGGCTTCCCGTCCTCGGTTTCTACACCGCTCGCTCCTCCCTCTCCCGAAATCTCTTCCAACCTCCTCCGTAGTTCTTCATCTGCTTCGGCGAGACTTGATGCATTTTTTGGTGTTTTTGCCACCGTCGTAGCCTTTGCGGGCTTTGCGGGCTGTGCAATGCAAGACGTGTGTGTAAGCGTACAGAAAGTACTCACAGGTGCGATAGATCTACGTACGTTCAGCTCTATTGAAGACCCCTCCTCCTTCTCCGGTGAAGGATTCGGAGCGGCCTCCGTCCTCCTCTTCCCCGTTATTGCTGTTGTTGTTGTTGTCGTCGAAATTTTCATTAGAGTTGGGTAGTCCAAGGCATGCGCATGAGGACCGCGAGAATGAAAACCTGTCGATATTATCCGCGTATACGTATTCACCATACGAATACGCCTCGTGCTCAACCAGAAAAACGATACAGCTTCAAGCATGGTGTTGATGTTTCGTTTTGAAAACGATGGGGAAACAAGGCTAAAGTACAGACATGTAAGTTATCACTTTCCGCAATTATGAAATCCCTGTACAGTAACTACAGCGTCATTCGTTCACTCACTCAACTGATTGCCGTAGGGTTTATTGTTAACCTCGGCGGGCTAACCCTGAGAGACGGAGGGACTTGGCACTGGGTACTAGCACTGGGTACAGTAGGTACATGTGGCCTAGGTACTACAACTACACCTATCACAGAAACTTCACATGTAGCGACGTGAAATGTAACCTCCTACATCTTTAACAACTCTACCTATTCCTTAACCTTTATCTAGCGGACTTGTCTCCGTTCGTGCGTTCGTGCGGGATCCAACTGCAGCCTTATCCTGTGCCACAAACCCACAGCTCTCAGCCTGGTGTAGTGCGGCGTATGCCCGCCCTTGGCTCGACGTTTGGATTGAAAGTAAAAAAACACTTTCATCCCGGATTCCTGGCTTTACAACAACCTCTTATTCCACATCTGATTGATCAAGATCGTACCATGGACCTAGTTCGAACCACTTTGGAACGGAACGTTCTACCTTCCCACCCCTAGCAATTATATGTTACCATCGCTGCCGATGTCAATGTCAATCGCCGTTGTAACAAATCAGCTCGGAAACGACGACCTGGCACTCGAGTATGTTTACCAAGCTCCCTGCCATCGAGACGGGGGCGTGGGGGGCATTTTTGAATTCCTGGCTTTCCTGCGGCGTATTCTTTTCAAGAATTACCTTTGATATACAAGTTATGAGCCTTACAAGACCAGTTTTTCTCAAGCTCATCTTACACAAACTTTATGTAAGCCTTCGCAGGCTGATACATACTTGCCCAGGGATCAAACTACATACGTATGTTGTTGGCTCCTCCACCGCTCCACTCTTCTAAAGCAGGATAGATACCATCGCCTGCTAAGGCATGGCCGGTTCCCAGAGTGGAAAGCTACGAACTGCCCCATGGAAAACCTTTTTTCTCCTCTTTCAGTTCCACGAAAAAAGAAATAAGAGAAAAAACTGCCCCATTCGTCTATCGGACCTTTTTTTTTCGCAGCTGCTAACCCATACAGCCTTCAGTTAAAAATAGAATATCGTTAACTTCCAAAAAGAACCATACAGACGTCCTGATTCGAGAGGCTGAGATCGTCAGCCAGGGATCTTTATCAGATCTTTATGTCTTCCGGCTTTCAAGAGTCTCGGCGCCTGCCCCGTCACATTTCACGAGACTTTCCCCTTGTTCGGGCCCTGCTCCGCAACGATAGCTCTATATATCGTATTCGGTGTGGTTTGGCTGCCATTCCTCTGCGTTTTGTGGGTTGTTTACTTGATGCAAGGAGCAGGGGAACGATTTACCTACCGCGCATTAGTTGCCGCACACCAGTTACTGTGCCATCTTGTTTCTGAAACTCTGGGTATATGTAGTGGAGAGGCTGGTATTCCGCAACGGGCGTGGGACGTGCCAATTCTAAATCAGGCGCCGATATCTAGATATGCCTAATTCTTACTTGGTTTGATGTGGTGGAAACAACCCCCCACATAGCATCCTAATTCATATGTGTGGGGAGCAATAAGGCTGTCTAGCTTCTCCATGTCCGATAGTCATCTGATGGAGGATCGGCATCAAATAGAAGACATGCCCTCCAGACACGAGACCTATGAAAAATTTTCAACGGTCTCAGGCAGAAAAAAAATTGGTTTGCCAGAGCCGTTTAAATCAACGGTTAGTCTAGTTTAGCGTTCCAGTGATCTAATAGGGCAGCCTTGGTAAAGGTACCCGGAACTGCCGTTGAAGACGAGGCCGAGGGCAATTGAAGGCTGTGGTTGGGGGCTATGCCAATGCCCATATCAGCTGAAAATGTCGATGAATCAGGGGCAAACCGGTTTTTGCTCGTGCCTGTAGTCACTTCGAACCATATAGAGGTGATCCTAGCCAGGCCCACCGCCCCTTCACCACGTATTTCAGAGTTTATCACCGCGTATTTCGATACTTATTTGAAATTAAATACTGGTCGCTTGCCATATCCTACCAATCGCTCCAAGTATGCACAAAGCTTGAGGGCATCACCAGATGGACACGATCATGGATTATCACTCGTGATAATTAGGCGGTCTTCATGCGCAGATTTCAAAGAAAATGATACCCTCTTCAGACCATTAGTCTATTAGACTACTCCCTTTTGTTTCTTTTTCTTTTAACTTCATATCGAAACCCTTAGGTTAAGTTTCCACGTGCTAAACACTAACCCTGGTATCATTGGTCCATGATTTCTTTCCTGGCTCGGGTAAGCCAACTCAACACCCCCGTAAAAACTATAGTATGCCGAGTGTTAAGGTCTCTTCGAATGAATCTTTAAACACGGCTACTGCTTTCGATTGATCATCTGGCTCTTATGTAAAAAAAAAAACGGAACAATATGTAGTCATGTGTATCTACATCAGTTGATTTAATCGATTTCAGCCTTTGCGGCGCAGCACCACGTAGAGTTTGCCTTGCCTTGATTTCTTAACTTCTGGTTAGCCTAGGGTATAAGATCGTCTCATTATTATCATTCAACTAAATTCTAAGGTATCCGTAACTTAGATATCATATGTATATCGCAGGGATAGGGGCCTAAAGCTTCCCCTTTGAACTGGCCCCAACATGCATCCTAGCTAAACGTAAACCATGTGTGCCGCAACAGCCATTCGAGTGGGATGGATGGATCCGATAGATCGATCACAACCATGCCTTAAGCTATACCATACCCACCCTTACTCAACTGCCATTCTATTCTCAGATTCCATCAATAAAGCTTATCCATCGACCTTTCGTATTAGGCACACTGGGCTGTGGTTTCGGATTTGGCTCAAGTACAGGGTCAGGGTTAGGTAAGTTACTAAGAGGTGTGATTATAAACCGTTACCCATGAAGTCAGTACTACCTTCACTTCCTCCAAGGTGTCCATTATATATGCCAAGCATTCTCTACCACACTCGACGGCCAAGCCCCGGCGGTCAAAGTCCATAACCGGCTCTGTATAAGCCCGCCTATCAGCTTACTACCTTTTCCAAAAACTATTGGACCTCTCTACTAGCTTGTTTCTTGCCCTCCCTGAAAAGGATAGATAGTAAATCGGCCACCTTGGTACTCGAGCCCAAGCAAGGCTTGAGGAAAAGATCGATGCTTGTTCTATTCTCCTCTTATCGAGGGGACTTCTCTTGGTGGTGGTCCTGGCGTGTGTTGGGGGTCGGCCTCTTTTCGCTTGATGTGGAGAGAGAGGAGCTGTCTTGCGTTAAGTCACTGTTCCCGCTGCCCTCTCCTCTTCGAAAGAAGGAGGGGGCTTTTTTGCGTTGGGCTACGTAATTTCTCTTGTTTCTGCGGGTTCTATATGTATGCTGATAGGGGACCCTCCGCTTTGTGAATTCGAGCGGGAGATGCCTTGAATTTGGTACATAATAGAAACACTTTTTTCTACCCGCATTATATGCACTCTGTTCCTACCAGGCCATCTAAAGCTTCTAATAGATTTCAAACATCACTCATGCTCTGTTGGTGTATTCTCCTAGCTTGTCCCAACCCTTAGAAACTAAATTCAACAGTCAAATCATTGGTCATACCGAGTGATAATCCATGATTAAAACACAAGATTAATTAGTTAATGGAGTACATCTAGCCTTGCGGGTATATATGTATATCTACATGTATAGTGCTATATCTCTCTCTTTCATTCATCTTGAGTACATGAAGTAAAGCTTCTTAGGAATGAATGAAAGAAAAAAAGAAAAAAAGGACTAATGAATCAAAATGAGGTAGATACAATACAGGGGATCCGAGTTAACGTCTCTCTGATGTGCTACAGCAGGCGCTTCGATATTATCTTCCTTGTTCTTCTCTCTTTTTGTTTTGTGCCGATCATGAATACAGGATTAGGGTACTTCAATCGATCGCTATTCCGTGGCTCATCCGCGTTACGGGGAGCGAGAGGTTTGAGTATCCGCGTGCTTTCTCAACGAGTTTCCGCTCAGTGTAAGAGGAGCCGCTGTAAATGTAGCTATAGACATGTGTGCCAAAGGTGTCGTGGCGCTAATTGTTGTCATAGAATCATTAACTATTGTACTTTTGGTGAAACCTTCGGGCTGTCGAAAGATCTCTTATACCATATTGCATATAACGTCTACAGTTAATTCTAATTCATCATTATATGCCGTTTCGTCGGCTTATCATATAGAAACCTACAGATTAACACCCACTCGCTGCAAGTAGGTAAGATAAATGAGGGGCGGAAAAAGAGTTACGGGGTGTTATTACTCAGCTTTCTGAATCATAAAGGATCACTCAGTATTTGGTGCTACCCCGGTGGTCTGTTCCAACACATGAACTCATTTCCACCCTTTATCACGTCGACAGCTTATAATTATCTTGGCCGTTACAGTCGTAATTCGATATGCCGGAACTCAATATAGCGAAAGCTTGCTATAACGGTACGCTCGGGACCGGAATTTGGTACCGTTATAGAGAGATTACCCTTATATAGGAGGTGCTGGTGCTGAAAGCCAGGCAAAAAGGACCGAGAAGTGCTACCGTTATAGAGAGATTACCCTTATAGAAAGTACCGTTATAGCAAGCTTTCTCTGTACCCCGGATCCCATACTACCCCATATGAAATCCACCTCAATTTGACTATTAACTATAAAATCGATTTGCTATCCCGGGTTTCTCATAAGTATATGCTATCTCGTACGAAATGGACTGAATTTTCTTGGCAATCTGGCATATCGAGTTGCGAGCGCAAATATACTTTCTTATCTATCAATTTTCTCGACTTTGTTCACTTTCATCTCCTCGACTTCGAAAGCCTGCTGCCATAGCTACAGTACCGAGTCAAGGCTTGGTGGTTTAGTTCCTCGCGTATCATCCTTATTATACCAGGCGTTGTCGGGTCCAGAGCCTTGATTGATACTCCAGACGGATTCCTCGCGTTCAGGTAAATATGTGCCTATCCGATCACACGAAAAACCCATACGCAGGTACACACTTCGAGACCACCAAGCCATGATACCAAGATTTTAGGGTGTTTCAAGTTGTTTGCACGACGGATCAAGTAAATGTGGGGGGTGTCTTACAACAAGGTGGGGGGTGTTTCTGAATGGTTGTTATGCGGTTAGTGCTCGACCCGTCTGAAATTTTGAACAGCTCAGGCGCTGGAAGACAATTGCGAACCATGGGGCCCCAAACTAGCGGGGCCTCCAATTCGATCAATTGGGCTCGATAAGAACAACAATTGAGGCCAGATTGTATGGATAGTATATATCTGCTGGGAGTTTTGAGCATGATTCTCCGCTGATACGAGCTCTTAAGTAATGAGGACCCACTCTGTGAATTGGCAGGGATATCGTGTCCGAGAGGTGCGAGACAGCCACCACCACCTCAAGAAAATGCGTCTGTGCCCTTTTCTTCATCCCACTGTTATCTCTCTTTCGCAGTCAGCGTTCTCTAATCGTCCTAATTCTTTGAATTCCGTTAACCACCGCATCCACCCGCTTCTGGGTCTAATTGACAGAGTGCCCGACATGATATGATGGGCTCTACTCCAAGAGCTTTACCCACTGGCGGGTGTAACTTTCGTGATCTCGCCCAGGCCGGTATCGCCCTCACTTGCGGCTGTCAAAATTTTGGCGCAGAAAACGAAAAAGGGGAAGAAAAATCACAGCATCAGCGGGAGGAGGAGGGGGAGGAGGGGGAGGAAGAATTAATCAATCCCATAACGAGGGGTTCGGTGGGAAAGAAATCAGTAGGATCGGTCGCTTCGGCGAGGAGAAGAAGAAGGAGGGTGACAGTTTTCGAGAATTTTCCTCTTTTGCTGATGATGACAGCGACTCTGACAAGTCTGAGGAGGATTGTCGATGTGGTCATCACGCCTGTTACCACTCCTTTGAAAGAATTGCCCCGCTCCCTACCCTTCCTGCCCATCCTCAATCTACTGGACGGCGTTATTCTCTTCAGATATCCGACACCCAAGCCTCTCTGCGACTCGACAATTCTGCATCAAATGTAGCTCCCAGCGGATTCTCGACAACCGAACCAAGTCAATCGGCTCTAGCTACTCGGCCTTTCAAACAGAATCATATGTACCAGCCTTCCCAGGTGGGAACAGATTTGCCTGCTTCAAAATCTAACTTACAGGTCACTACTACTGGGAAAGGTGATGGATTAAGGAGAGGTGATGGATTGGGTGATATTCTACAAAGATTCCAGTCAATCCTAGAAAACCTGGTGTCACGAATAGAGAAGCAAGCTCCGGGAAATGCTGCAGGGATTGCTGAGATCAATTCGAAATTGACAAAGCTGATTAAGCTCAATGAGAAGCTAGAAAACTCATCAAGGTCTCATACTGAACGTCTAGAAACAGTGGAAACATACGTTGCCGTTCTGGAAGAAGTCCGCGAAAAAATTGATTTGATGGAAGATCGTACAAATGAAGTGGACGAAAAGATTTTCAGCTTTGAAAATCGACTAGATGATCGTTTCGTCACGATCGAGTCCCGTCTTCAAAAGAGCCGGGAGAAGAGAAAGCTTCGAGAGAGGGGGTTTGATGAGGATGGATCAATTCGGGTTCCAAAGCGACGCAAAGGGGGACGAGGAAATGAACATGAAGCGCTGCCTGAAAAAACCAGTCAATTAGACATTAGACCCGCAGTCACAGCAAGCTTTAACACGAATACCAGCGCATCGAGCAGCCTTTGCACAGATACTTCGGCAGACAGAGATTCACGCAAAATAACTTCTTCACTCTTGGAACGCCTAGAGTCACGTCTAATCAGAATGGAGCAGAATGCGGGCCCCTCTCCTCAATCGCCCTGGGAGATAGAGGTTGTAATGCTTCCGCCAGCGCCACTGAAGGGAATCTGGAACGACGGGACTGAATTTGGTGGGTATGAAAGTAGTAACCCACAGTCGGTCAGTACGTTCTCTGGGGCCTGCTCTCGAAGGAAGTCCAACGATTTTAGTGACGGGCCTGTCCCTCGGAGTTTTAGCGTAAACTCTCGCCTATACCGCAGGTTAGGAACTAGAGGTTTTGTCAAGCATATTAATGTTTTGGGACCCACAGCTCAAGACGTAGCAGCTGCGGTGGATTCAAGCTTTGGAAAGGTGATCAATTGGTGCCATTCTTTCTACACTCCCGATGAGAGCGTATCCCCCCGTCTCCCTTCACAATATCAGAGGGTGAGTCTCGGATGGCAGCCACTCAGAAAGGTCCACAAACAAACCAACCTGGAATTCCTGAAGCCAGGTGAGATGATGGAAATTATGTGGACAGTCGACTTCCTCAAGGGAAGTTGTATCATGAAAGGCCGCAGAGCGGTGCTCTACATCACATCATTACTTCCTACACGCCCTTCGTCGGTTTCATCTATCTCATGGAACGACATAAAAACCCTCCCGGAGTATATAGCTGTCTCAGAGCTCGATAAGGATACAAAACCACCGACCAGCCTACAACCCGATCTCGAGGATGCCGAAGATCCTTGGGCGTGGAAAGAAACGCTCGATGACACTTCTGAAGAGCAAGCAGCTTCACCATCCGTAAGATCCGTAAGGTCCGCAGCCTCATGGAGCTCATTCGGGCCATTCCAATTGGAAGATGAAGCACGCGCCCAACATGCAGTGGACGATGAAGAGGAGAAGGAGGAGGAGGAGCCAAAATTGAAAACACCTTCTCCAGCGAACTTGGTTGATTCTGGGTTGAACGATTGTGATTCGTTGGGACCACCGTCACCGCCGGTATCGTTCTCGAATAAAAAAGGCAAGAATTCATCACCGCGCCAAGAAAGTGGTAGTCGAGCCCGAGAAGAAAAGACGACGAGGAGACTCTTGCGACGACAAAAGAAGTGGAAGCAGTCGCAAGACTCTCTGATGGAAGAGGTCGCAGCTGGCATAGAAGGCCTAACACCAACATTAACAAGAACAACAAGAAGTAGCATACGCCAATCGAGTTCAATAACCACAAGTGGAAAAAGCAGTAGTGCGCGAGATTCCTGGTTATCTTCACTTTCATTTTCAGCCGTACAGGCGAACCCGAGAACCTTGGGATGGGTGAACGATAACACAATTCCAGAGGATCTGGAAGAAGAAGAGGAAAATGTGAGCGGGGATGGTACGGTGGAGGATCCTATAGATATAAACTAAGAGGAGGCATTAGTAATGGGTAAACGACACGTCGGCCTTTAAGGTCTAAGGGATGATTTCATTTTCTATGTACTTTGTTCATACGTCAAGCGTGGTTTCTTTCTTTCTCTTTTCTTTTCTATCTTGTTCTTTTTTCTTGGGAGGAGGGGTATACTTGCATTACTATTTTGAGCGGAGCTCTTGTGCATCATATTATGAGGATCTTCTTTTCTCTTTGCATTTGGGGGGGGGGGGGGCGGGGGGGGTTTACCGTTCGACGCTTACTACATGTATCTTCATAGTTATCATTTCTTGGGGAGGAGTATTTTGATTTGGGAGTGTGGGGTGTAACTGCAACGAATGCGTGGCCGTGTAGTTTTAGTATATAGTGCTGGGATTTGGGGGTTCAAATAAGTATATGACATTGTAGAATCTGTTATTTAGAGTAGAGTCTGTTCTGTACATGTAGAGTAGTCAACCAACCCTTGCTGTGGTTGAGCTGCTGTGTGATGTGTGTGTGATTTTGTGTGATGTTTGACACATTCGTTTCTGGCAACGCGTGACGTCACCCCATCACTGGCTCGGCTTTCGGATAAAACGGCGAACGTGTAAAGTGGGACGCGGAGGGCACGTGACCTGCGTCCCCTGGAGCTAACCTCAATTGTCATTTGTCAATCCCACGACCACCGTCTCTGTCTGTCTGTCTGTCTGTCTGTCTGTCAGCCTTGTCCGAGAACATCAAATTCGTCTCTCCTGGATCATTCTTCAAACAAACACCCTCCCTCATCACGACCCTCTCAACCTCTGTCTGTACACATACGGTCAGTATAATCAGCTATGGGAAGCCAATTGATGGGAGTATTAACGTCCTTTGATAGCACCATTGGCTCTTGCTTCGATATTCCGATACCTCAGCCCATGTCAACAAACGTCTGATCACACCAGATATCTGCTGAATCCCCATAAGGACATCCACCGCCACCACCTCCTCCAGATACCTTCTATCTTCCCTAATACATCTCTAAATCCACCTCCCTTTGGACTCCTTTTACTGCTCTCCTTCCTCAGCTCCCAATCTCCACGTGACTGGGCCCGTAAACAACTTACCCTGAAACACTCATTACTGAGAAAACTTTCAAGGGTCTCCTAACAAACAATCCCGGCTTGCTGCGCTGTCAATTTTTCAAACCTTCTGAACTTGAAGCAACACTAGCTTCGTATCAGAATAGCCAGTACTTAAGCAGCCATTCGCTTTTATCTGGTATGATTTTTTTTTCCCCTCTCCAACCACACACCGCATACCCGATCCTCAAACGAAACAAAAAAGAAACCAACATTAACAACCATGTGTGGTCTCAGCTATAACCCCGACGACCCGCCCATCATGCCCGCACGCCGCACCGCCCACGTCCTCCAATCCCTCGCCCCCAACCAGCAAAAGAAAGCCACCAGGACCACCGCCGCCGCCGCCGCCGCCCAAAACCCCACCCCCGCCTGCTCCTGCGGCACCGAACTCGCCGAGCTCCGCCAGGAGGTCTCAGAGCTCACTCGCGCGCTCAACGAGATGAAAGAGGTCATGTACGCGCGCCTGCTGTTCCCGCACATGTCGCTCGCCGAGGCGCAAACGGACGCAACAGAGGTCACGTGGGAGCACGTCCGGCCGCCGAAGCGACAGCGCTCCGACAGCGCCCTGTATCTGCCCGACATCCCCGACGGGTTCTCCGACAGCACGGCGCACAGCCTGGTGTTTAAGCAGCGGACGAGGAACGCGGAGAAGGAGTGTGAGCGCGCATGTAAGAAATTAAAAATCAACCCCGTGACTGGGGAACCGCTGGAAAACTTATCAAAGACGGCAGCCGTGGTAGTGAAAGAGACGCATGAGCAGGCGATGCGCGTGACGAGGCGTATGGCGGTTGTGATTGAGCCCCCCACACGGTCAAGGGTGGAGAAGAGCAAGAGGGGCAGGTCGTCGACTTTGAGGGTCGGGAGAGGGAGGAAGTAAATCGGGTTTCTTTTTTATATTTGGGTTATTAGTTCTTGGGTATTCCTTTTGTCACACGGCCGGTGGAGTTTATCTATTATTTGTTTCTGGCTGGGCGCGTGTGCTTTGTGTAAAGTTTTTAAGTATTTGTATGATTAACCTAAAAGGAAAAGAAAAAAAACGACTCGCAATTGAAGTCTCTATTTACTCTATTCTAGCTATATATATATATATCGAATCAATCATGAACTCCCAATCCCGATGCTCATCACACTAACAATAACCGTGCCAATCGTATGTACTCTACAAAGTCCCGGCCTGCACTAGCGTCCCTCTCTACGTCCAATGCTATTCATGCACGGTCCAACACTCGAGCATCCTATAAATACAAATATACCAAATTAAAGACATGATTGGAGAAACCCTTTCTGGTTTCACTTGTTTTCAGTGTTTGGGGGTATCCTTAGAAATATTTCCAAGTCAGCCAAACCAACCAAGTGGTTGGACGTTCTAAGTTGTACTTCATTGGTCTTTAATATGAAATAAGCTTACAAAAATGGATATAGAAAAAGGCACAAAAATTATCGAAGTAAAAACGTATCGATACCGGAGATAGGACTCGTATATCGGTTCGAACCAAAGAACCTTTCCCAAAACACTTCTACAGCCCATTCCAAGAAAATTATAAACTCCTAAAAGAAAAATGAAGGTATCCCAATGAATCCATCTTTATGAAACAATCGTGCTGAAGGAATCATGACGACAAAAGAAAAATTCTAAACTCTATACTGTGGATAATCCTTGAACTTGAGGCCGGAACGCTGTTCAAATATGGTGATGTCAATGGTGTTTTCTGTCAAGAAGCGCCAGACATGCACCTTCTTCTGTTGGCCATATCTACGAACACGGCCAATGGCTTGAGTTTCGCAAGAACGGTACTCGTAGTCGCTTGTCGTTAAGAGTGGAGAAAGGAAGATGGCGTGATTCGCATTGGTCAGATTTCTGTAAATGAATCGTTAGTGTCATAGGGTAAAAACTATCAAGAAGGAGATCACTCACGCTCCAGAAGCACTCTCATCCATTACGTTCAACAACAGCACTTTGAGACTGTCCTTATCGCCGGCCTCCTGGAAACGCTGCAAAGCCTTACTTTGTGCTGCCGCTGTGCCCTTGAGTTGCAGGAAGTCGATCTTATACTCCGACAAGACCTCCGCAACTTTCTCCATGAGGTCTGGGAACTGTACAAAGAGTAGAACCTTGTCTTTCTTCGGAATGGTTTCTTTGATAAGCTCCATAACCTTCTCCAATTTCATCCCATAGTGCTTTCCAAGGCCTTCTTTAGGGTCTTCAACCCCCAAGCTGTCTCCCTTAACAACGTTGAGAACACGTGCTGGGGCATCACAGCCCGCAGTAAGGCATTCTTGTCTGTGTGCCGCGGCCTCGAGGCAGGTGTAGCAACCCTGGTGCCCACAGCTTGAAAGAACAGCGATTTCAGAAACAGGCAGGCCGGATCTACCACAGCCGGGACATGAAACATTGGATATAGAATTACGCTTCGCAAACTCCGCTAGCCCGAATTGCTGTAGATCGCGGACAATTTTAAAATAGCGCAAGGATCTGTGGCGCCCGACAAGCTCTTTCCTTACGAGAGCGCGGAGTTGACTGGTTCGGTCACGGAGCTGTTGAATCTTGTCCTCCATTGAAGTTGGCCATGGAATAACATCGTCATCCTCTTTCTTACCCTTGGCGGTTTTCTTGGATTTTGATAGATAATTCACTTTAGGGACGTTCCCGATGTCAGTAAAAGGAGCAGGGCCTTTCCCGTTCCCATAAGCCTGATCAATCAACGCAAGTATATCTTCCCCAGCTTCTGCGTCACCGATACCAGCAGTACGGGTAGTAGTCAACCAAGTGTTGAAATGATCCTCCCCAGGAAAAGAGGACTTGGGGATTTCTTTATGCCGCTTCAGACAATCCACCAAGCGTTGAAGGACCTCTTCGCGACAGCTGGTAAGTTGACGCTTGCGATCTTTCACAATAACTTGACACGCCTGGACAGCGTTCTCTTCGTCCTCTTTCGTAAAATCGAGAACAAAGTGAGAACAGCGCTTAAGCAATGCTTCTTCAGCGGATGCACTGTCTCCTAACGACTCCTGCAACCTCTTGTCCCTGTCGTTATCGAGCTTGATCTTCGACCTTCTGATATTCATATCTAAAGCCTGCAGATGGTGCTCAAGTTCAAGATAAATGGCGCGCTCAGCAGCTGGGAGGGACACAGGGACTGCATGCTCTTCAAAGGGAATTTCGTCGATCTCTGCGATGTTTTGACGGACAAACTGGTTCAAGAAAGCTTGGGCAACCTCTTGTCTCCTTTGGTGCCAATTCGGAGACCTGAGCTCGCGGAAAGCAGTGAAAGCCTCAACATCTAGACTCGGGTTAGTTATGACCTCCTTCCGGCTAATCTTTCAACTTACCTGTGCGGTCTTTCTTGATCTTTTTCCTATTATCAATCTTGCCAACCATATCATCATCAATACCGAGATGAACACCCAAAAATACCGAGATAGTCTTGACATCTGCAAAGTCATCTAATGGTGGAGTACCGGACAGAATCCAGCGGAACTTTGATTTTAAACATGTGATAGAAGAATGGATCCGGCCTCCTAGATACGTGTACTCGTCAATCACCAGCCTGTTGAAGTGGAACATTGCAAGTGGTGGCGCCATCATTTGTTTCCAATCTCGTTTTACCAGTGATGACTTGAGTTTCCACGGATCACCTTCCGTATGCGCTACGGAAACTTTGCTTTTCTTCGTACGACCAGATACACTGGAAGAACTATCGTTGGAATCAGAATCTTGGTCAGTTTCAGGTCTCTTGCGTTTAGCGCCTGCTTTCCCCTTCTCCTTTGCTTCGACATATGCTTTGCCAATGAGGCGTTTGGTCTGTACGAATACCTCTCCGACGTCTTCGCTTTTCAATTTTTTGGACTGTTCTTCCATCCTGCCCAGAACAAAATCGGCGCCGCCATTGCGAAGGTTCTCAACCTGCTCTTTCAGATCTATGAGAGCTTGATCCTGCCAGGCATTAAATCGCCTGCCATCTGACCCAGGTGGGGTGTTCGATGCTGAAAACGTAGCCAAACTAGAGAGATATGCATCACTTTTAAACAAGGTTGACGAGACAACAATGATGTCGGCGTTCATTATTTGCTGGATAGAGGTCTTGTTCAAATCGGTATGCGACTTAAGCTTGATGATTTTATACCTGTTTCCAGTGAATTTTGCGATTTCAGATGGCCATTGGTTGGTGAGGTGAGGGGGCACGACAATCAAGGTGGCCTTCACGGGGATCATTCCAGGAGTCTTTGAAGGAAGTGTAATGTCGGTGTGAGAACAATCAATCAATCCAAGAGTGATCGCGGTTTTGCCGTATCCGACCTGATCCGCGAGAACGCCCCCAAGAACCTGAACAGGCCTTTCCGCTCTGCCTTCAGCTTTCCAATTAAGATGCGGAAGAAGAGCTTCGGAGACCTCCTCTTCGATAAATGGGGGAGCTTCATCTTTCTCCTGTTTCATCATCCATGTAAGCGACCTGAGCTGTTCTGGTCGCAGCTTGGTAATGAAATTAGGCGGTTGGGTGAACTGAGCATCTCGTTTGTTGCTGGTAAGCTCGAAGGGCGGGAGAACGAGTTTGCTAACCGGGATGTAGTCTGTCGTAAGACGCCAGCTAAGCATTGGAATGGCGTTCTCTGCATATGGAAGCCTGGAAAGTGCTCGGTGGACCAGTGTGGGTATGTTGAGACCAATCCTTAAGAGGCCTATTTTGTCCCCGTTGCTAGAGCGTTCTAATTTCAACTGTGTGACGAATGGGGAGGGCCTGTTCTTCAGTGCTCGCTCATAAGGCGCAGCTTGTTCCGAATCCTCGCGAGGAACATATTTGTTGCCTTTGCGGACCCATTTCAGACTTGGCGCTGTTGGCGCACACCTTTCACAGTTCGAATAATCACTAGGGAGATTGAGATTATTCCATTTTGAAAGCTGTTCCATAGAACGGATACGCTCTGTGAGCCAAGCCAAAGACTCGAATGTATTCCTTTCGTGGATTCTGTCAACCTCAGTCCAGGCACCTTCCGTCCAAATTTCCTCGGCTTGATTCTTCAAGGGAACTCGACAAGTCAAGACCGCATTCGCAGTCTTACAGTCATCATTCGAAACACTAACTGACAACCCTTGAGGACCGGGTATAGAAAAAACGCCCTCGTTGACCATGTCTTTTTTACCCACGGGAGTTGCGAGTGTGACTTCATCAGTGGAAACCCACTGTCCATCTGCAAAACATTCAAATGTTCGAGGGCCGTTAGCTGAAGAGGGCCGGAATTTTGTTTCCATCCTTGCTATAAGTGGCCTTTTTTCGCCGTATGCATACCGTCTAGTCGTGGTTGAGAATACGAAGGGATCACTTTTAGCTTCGCTGGTCTTTGTCGGGTCTAAAAAGAAGTAGATGGGTAAAGCGCCGTCTTGATCCACTTTTTTGTGCAAAGATCCATTTGCAGTGCCGCATGTAGGCAAAAGCTTGTAAGTACCGTTGATGTTCTGATCCAAGCAGTGCTTCATATCATCAGGAACCGAGACCTGGATGTGATCCCATACTTTTTTGTCCGCAAATTTAGGGTCCTGTAAACCGATCGAAGCCTCCCAGCTTTCTACTAATGATCCTTTGCCTTCGATTTCAAGTTTGAATTCGTATCTAGCTGGGAGACATATCTCCCACTGACCTTCCATAGGATCACTTGCACCAGCGAGTCTCATTCTGGCAAGTGGCATCTCGCACATTTTACGTCTAAAACTTAGAGCCCCGTCCGTCGCTGGACACTTGGCAAAAAGCCTCCACTCCGGTTGTAGAGGGTCAAGCAATAATTCGATTCGGGCTTCTGGGGCATCGTAGTTTGCACTCCAGATCTCTTGGCGCTTAAGGCTCATAAATCTGAACTCAGACTTAACGGCATAAGTCAAGCAGTCTTGAAAGGTTTTCCAGTCGCTATTTTTGATGTTTGCTGCAATGTCAGGGTTTCTATTCTTCAGATCATCAAGAAGATTGCTAGATATGCCGTCTACTAAAAGGCGCATAGGTAAAACACTCTTAACTTTGTGTTCAAACTGCAAAGGGGTAATGCGGTTATCCGTGTATTTGAAAGGGATGTAGTGATGTTCAGGGCGGCCACCGCACTTCTCGCAAGAAGTGTGTCCACACTCCTTACAAACCGAGATCTTATTACCGGTAATGTCTGATCTACCCTCGCATACACAGAGCCTGGCACTCCTTTGTGCTTCCTTGAGAAGTGTTTTAATCTGGAGTTGTTGGGATGTAGACAAGTCCAACGGCCTCTCAAGCAACTTGCTAACACCACTGATTCTTGTAGATATATCAACCTCCTCGACATCAATTTCCATGTCGTCGTTATCTGCTGGTTTGAGATGATCTTGAGATAAGATCAAAGCTGCGAGAATAGCGGTTCCAACGACAGTTGACGACATTGCATTTCCTGCAAGGTTCTGTAGTTCTTGGGACGTCTCTCTCGTTAGAAGTAATTCATTGATAGGAAGTCCTTGCATGGCAAGAGACTCGAGGCCAATCATTGGGCCACCGCGGAATGTCAAAAAAGGAATCATATGTGGAGTGAGACATGGGCAAATCCCATTCGCTTTACCAAAAGTATTGCGATCCACGTTCTGAGACAAATTCCAAAATTGTTCCTTGTAATTGGCATCGACGCCAGCTTTTGCTTGAGTTAACAGATTGATATCCATTAAATCCAGCACTCGGTCAACCTGCGAGTGACCCCAGTCTTGCCAAGCAAAATCAAACATTTTAGAGATTCCCCCCTCTTCCCATTGTGTCATCGGTCTTTTCAGCCCCAGTTTCTGGACAATCCTTTCCTTTTGATGCTTTCCCTCACATTTTTCCCACTCGACCGATCGGGCAGGTCTATTGTTTCCGTCTCTCTTGGTAGCCAGATCCATTCGAACTTGATGAATTCTTGGGTCGTCGGATTGCAAGAGGAATGCTTCTAGTGTACACGATGCTGGCCGGCGCAACTTTCTCATAGCATCAATCCATTGATTTGGAATTGAGCTTCCTTTTTGATCGATGGCAAACAGATATCCTCTGCAGCGGGTTTGCGGAATGTAATAGTTTTTCGTATCGAAACTTGTCAGAAACTCGGCCGAATATCCGGCTTCTAAGTATTCAGCCCGCATTTCTGTCCAGGCCGCCCCAGCCACATTTTCGTGGATGATGATGGTCGGCCGATGACGATTTACCCACCTCATCATGCCATGAAACGTATCAGATGATTCACCTACATCGTCGAGCGTCTTTTTCTTGTTGTTGAGATTTGAAAAATCTACGCAAGATGTACCAGCAACCAAAAGGTCAACATTCCCAGGGACAGCAACTTTAGCACCATAAGCCGTAGTGCTATCTAATATATTAGAATCAAGCACCCAGAAAAAATATGCGCCATATATGAGAAAGAAATAAATAAACTCACGCAAAATCTTGGCCCAGTTCTCTGATATCTCTAAACAAGATCGGTGGCTTGAAGTTTCGCTCAATATAACTTGAAAAAAAATCAGCACATGTAACGCGGGGGCATAGATGCTAACTTACGCTTGTTTGTATGGCTCAATTTCACAGCTGAAGACATGCTGTATTTCGAGCTTGCCCAATCCCATTTTCTGGAAACTTCTTCCAAACAAGCCTAAAGCAAGCAAAGGACTTTCGGTTCCTGAACACATAGTTGCAACCCTAAGCCTCCTCCCACCTCTATCACCAAATAAACCCGTCACCGCTGGAATCCGAGAAACGATATCATCGAAGATTAATTGAAGATCGGAGATGGGTGGAAGGTCCCCTTCTCGGGGTTTAATCGTCAAACCACATTTTTTGGGTAACGAGTGGTGCTTATCGGCAGCGCCCGAGCTTTTTTTTGCAGCAACTTTAGCAGTTTTACTAGAGGATCCCTTCGCAAAGATAGGTTCAAGCTCAGATGATTCCTCTTCCTTTGGGTCAATTTCATCGTCAGTAGGAACCGCCGACTCAGCTACAGATGCCTCGCCATCGGAGGGCGCTTCTGAGGGCGGAGCAAAATCGGACTCGTCATCTTTATCGCTGTCCAAATCGATAACCATTTTTGAGCTATTGTTGAGGGATCGAGCTCTACCTCTAGGTTTGCTGACTGGTGGAGGGGCAGGCGGCTTTTGTGGCGATCTAACAACGAAAGTATTGAGTGTGGATGTTTTTTGTGAAGACTTGGATGTGCTTTTTCCCTTTGAAGGTACCACTACTAAATTCGAGCTGGGAGAACTGCTAAAATAATTTCTCATGGACAATTGCCTGGAAGCAGTTGTCGGAGGATTTTTAGAGAATTTTGGACCAGAAGGACGAACAGGAACTAGGTTTATTTGTTTAGTTTGCTCAGACTCCGATACACGGGAAGAAAAATGAAGGAAATTTTCAACATACTCTCTACAGCAGTCATGAACATCTTGCCTGCAGTTTTCTTCTTTGGAGAATCCTCGGCTGCATCAGCACCCTGTCCGGAATTACCCTCGCCATCAGAGTCATCAGAAGATTCTTCTACAACTGCGCGACGCCGCCTGGGAAACGTTGCCATCGACGGAAGTGCGCAGTAATTGCGCTGTAGATGATTTTGATATGCGTTTTTCTTTTCCTTTGCAATTAATATAGACCGCCAGGTTAGTAAATTGATAAAGGGATTGTCGCAAAATATGAGAAAAAGTCGCGGTAAGGACGTTACGGAAGATGAAAACACAATGACGGGAAGTCTAGGTTATCTCGGGGGAGGGGGTATGGGGGGGGATGTACATACGGGAAACTGAACTCTTCTAGTAGTCTCCAAAGAGAAGCTAGATAGAACGTAAAGGCTTTTTTTTTTCCTTTGATAGATTGATTGAAAAAGATGTAGGAGGCGGTGTTGTAGGATGGGATGGGGTAGATGAAGACAAGAAGTGCTGGCGAGGAAAACGCGCTTTTGCAAATTGCACTGCCGCGACACCACCGCGTACTGTACCTACACGGATGGGGTCTTAGCGCGGTCGGGATCCGCCACGAGGGATCACGCCAACACAGGTACCGGCCCATCCCGCCTAGCCGCAAGTAAGTACGTCAGCGGCGACTTCTAGGGATTTATAATTATAAAGTTCTTCCTTCTGTTTCTAAGAAGCCTTTGGTGTTTGATGGGTACAGTCTTTTACCGTCTCTTGACGAATACTGCCACTTGACGAACAGGGACCCCAAGCAACAGCCAAACTACGAGATCTCCGGTCTATTGGCCCAAAGTCCCCTGTTCGTCAACTGGCAGTATTCGTCAAGAGACGGTAAAAGACTGTAGTTGCCATCCCTCCCCGAATCATATATACCTCACTCCACTGCGCTGCTCTACCAGTACTTGTGAATCCGCTATCAGATTTATACAGGCGACAGGTCAGAAGGCGCATATTTACATTGTTGAAATTCCTTGATCTGGTTACTTGTCTTGAAAATGCCCTCCTAATCTTCCCTCATCGCACTGTAAAAGGCAATTTTGACGTCTGTGTAGCCGTCCGCTAAGACGAATTACTGCGGTATGTACATACATGTACATACATAGATGAGATTACAATGTCAATATCAAAGTTCTAGTCCCTTCTACATACATGGGTTTCCACCTTCTACATCATTACAAACGCGACAGCCACTGCTAACAAAGCTTACATGACACCGACCGGAACATATCTTCTAGAAGATTTCCCTTCAAATATTGCCGGGTGCTGGGATGATAAGGTTCGAGATCCTGCATCACCACCCACGCCCTCGGTAGCAACACGTTGACTAGTCCCTACATCAAGACCAGTTCGCGAGTAGAGTTTCGATGTTCCCAGAACAGCTTGCGGTTGAATCTGTAGACTATCCCCGACCTCCACGGTCCTTAAATCCATAACTGATCTTGCCACTAGCTTTGGCTCAGATGTGATCAGTGGTAACGGGCCATCAAACATGACAGGACCAGGATGAGCGGTTACAACAATCCCAGTCCCAGTCTGTTCGGAATTGGAGGAGTCCCCCGGCCCCGGAGGCAGAGAATTGTCAGGAATTATTGAGTCGGGGATCTCTGTATTCACGATTTCAGCGGCACTCTCATTACCAATTGCGGGCCCGGTAGAGGACTTCGGGAGCGGAGGGTCGCTGGAAACTATTGCTGAGGACAATACTGGTGGTAGAGGTTCACTTGGAATAACTGGGCCGAGGTTATTATATGCCACGATCTCGGCAGGAGCGAGTGTTTTATATGCATCTTCAAGCGTGCCTGGGTCATGCTATCATGTCATTAATAAAAGCATATTCCAGGAATGTTACACATACCAATAGGGAATCATCAGTCACACCGATGTTATCAGGCGGGGTCCTTTTATTAGTGTCAAGCCTATAACTTACACCGCTGGGGGTCGAGCTTTGGGTAGCAATGGCTCCCTCTTCGGCATGAGAAATCGTGTTGTATGAGATGGATGAACCGCTAGAGAGTGGGTGTGTTTCTCTGATTATTAAGTGTTGAGAAGTCTCGACCGCCGTGTTCACTGCCGGAGGCTGAATATATATGATCAGTGACAAACCCAACAGCGGAACTGCAAAGAGATTTTGAAGGCATAATGTTAAGGTAGCAAGAACTCAATTGATCAACGTACCAAAGGTCCTGCAATAGCAAGTGCCGCAAAGATCAAAGCACTACCAGCTGCGGTAACGGCGCATGATTTCATTTCTTTCCTGAGTCGGTGTATATTTATGGAAGAATTTGTGATAATGGGTACTATTAATTGTTGTTCTTTCGTTTTATTCTTCGTTTCAGCGGAATTATAGGTGGCCTCAACAGCTCTTATAGTTTTTAGCGTCGAACCGAAACTACATCATTATATCATAACCAGCGGGTGACTAAATTAGTCGTAACTCCGAGGAACCGGCACTCGATCTTTAATCATCCGGAATTCCCAAATCTACACACTTTAGGTTGCCAATTTTACAAATACGGTCGGCCAACTGCTTTCTTTCGGTTGGTTTTGCATTAAAAACTCTGGATTTGAAGTTCAAGATAAATTTAAGGCTCTGTTCGGACGGACGTCAATACCATGGTATTCACCCCGAGTAGGAAGGTGTGTAAGTCAATGTAGTATTTTAGTGTTCGGATGGCCCAAATTATTAGTTTTGATACCATGGATACGCCACAAAATACCATGGTTTTAACAAATACCTCTGGAGGTATTTATTTCCCGTATCTTTATGCCTCTACCCAACAATATCTCAACTCCGTCCGAACGCTTCCCCCTTTGGCGAATACTTGGTTTTATCTCAGGGCATGATACCATGCAACCAAATTTACCACAGTATTGAATACCACGTCCGTCCGAACAGAGCCTAAGTTAATGTACCTTTCCATGCAGGGCAAAACCCCACTATGAGAACAAGGGCAGAGGTGTTCTACTGCCAAGGCACCTTTATTCTAAATTATAGCCAAACTCAGCACTATCATGCCTAGAGATTCTGAGATTGATACATTCTACTAGCTCATTCGATTCCATAAGAAGACTCTGGTAGATACGTACATGTATAATTGATAGAGGTCGGCTTGCTTTGCCACTACGCTATCAGGATGATGACATAAAATTTCCTCTTGATGGTGGCCTGGATTTCTATTTACCTGATTTTAATTTCCCTTGACCATGAGGTTGATATTATATGGGAAGCAAACGCTGTAACAGGTTGAATCTTCGCCTTTATCCTCTTATTGTTTGCCACTCATTTCTTTTTAACTCTGAGAGCTCTACTGCCCCATAAAGAGGATCCTTTATCCGTCACAGTACATCACTCGTTGTCCGTTTTTTTTTTTTTTTTTTTATTCCCGTTGGCGGCACCCAACCAAACGATACGGCAGGTATGGTGTAAAAAACTCTTAGAGTGACCATACCTACGCGCCTTACTAAAACTTTAATAATCGCTTACCATCTCAGTTTCTCTCATTACCTAGATGGGTTTTGTCTCGCCTGACCGCCAAGGGGATATTTTTCATGATATGAGTTTTTGGAGGACTTCCGATAGAGTATGATGTTCCAAGTGTTCGGTTCAGTTATCGGGGATATCTAGAAAAAAAATCAGAGGCCAAATCACATCCGAGAAGACCAAAGCTGGTCAAAAAAAGTGTATTCTTGATATACTTTACATATCATCTGCACCAGTTTTATCTAAGGAAGGTCTTGCATAATCTACGGGGTTGACAGCGTTGGTATTTGGAGGCGTAAACATACATGTAGAAACGCCTGACCCCGCATGTTCCTTCTAGGCTGCCGAGTTCACACATGCTAGGTGCGCACATACAGCCTAACGCAGTACCTACGGCACAACAAAAAACCATGACCATGACATGATCATCATGTTAGTATACACTGATATTTGGGCCCTACCAGGTGGTGAAGGATTTCAAAGCGCAGTAGTGGTTCGATGTTTAGACCTAAAATGACAGCTTTCAAAAAGAACCTCTCCCTGGAGTGGAATTTGGGTTGACCGGATTACCGTCTGTTCATTTGTTACGTTTCGTGAGGTTTCTATGATGTACCTCTCTATGCCCCAGTACACAAGGCTAGACCGTGCAGGTCCTGCTGCACATCATCTCTAAGTGGCCAAGCGTAACTGTTAAAACGAGATAGAATAGGACTTGGCAGTGTCACTGTCCAACCTAAGCCACGCTACCTGTATCCGTAATGGGCTAGCCTTGATCAACGGCAAGGATAAATAGATGACTAAGCGTCAATATTGACATTTGTATGGACGTCGTCGGTCCTTGTTCTTGTCTACAGCCCCACAACCGCCTTCCTTAACTTGTTTCTAGGACAGGCGCCAGCTCCCATATCCTACTTCCTGTTCAATCGTTTACTATGGGATTAATGGCATCTCCAAACCCTTCCTTAGATCCATCTTTGATTTCCTCGGTTTTTGTTGATCTTGCTTCTCCTTCCGCTTCTCAAATCATATCCTCTACTACTTACTCTCAGGCCTCTTCCGGCGCCGGAGCTGCAAATATCAACTCAATGGCCGCAGACATGACCGTTGCTGGTCCCACCGAAGAGGAACCCATTGCCTACGTTTCTACTGATTCGCGGTCGAGATCTGTATCTCAAGATATCCCATCCAAAATAAAATATGACGGCATCACGTATGAAGTACTTCGTCCAGAGCAGCTTGGATGTGACAGCAAGGATATTCCGCTCTTTGGCGAACGTAGGTCAAAGGCACGTGCCGCAAAACATAAGAAAAACCAAAGACGGAGGCCCGAAGAAACTGAATGGGAAAATAAGCGAAAATGTTTGTTCCCTTCTGTAACCAAGAAGGCATACCCATTTCTAACATCAACTACAGCAACGATCGAAGAGAGGTTATTCAATAGAGCTTTTGCCGGCTACAGCGAGTCAGATTTGATGGTGACCGGGGACGGGCTGCTTCTTCCTAGACTCCCTTCTTGGTTAAATTCCACCAGGGAGACCCAGCATGATGGTAGTCCAGGAGTTTTTATATGTAGCCCAAGCAAGGAAGACTTTAATTCACGATTTTTGGAGATTCTTGAAGCACTAGAGCCCATAGGGGTTGAAATCGGAGTGGCTAAGATCCGTGTTCCTGATGGATGGTATAGTTATAGTTTTTTCTTCTTCACACACAGTCCCTATCTCGTCTCCTCGTCTATTCCTGCATAGGCAAGAGGTTTCGTCCGGTCGAGCATTTCCCTATCCATGACGGGTTATTATACGAGGTATGCTAACAGGGACTAGCTTAGATGATCCCATACCATGGTCAGAATTCAAGAATCGCAACCCACACTCTTCGCTAGACCCAACCTCATACGTCGCTCAAAATGGGATAAGTCCCAATACAGAGAAACCTCCCGCCTTCTCTAATACCGCTGAGAATTCGAATGCTACGGAATCTCACCGCCGCCCAAAAAAATATGAATATACCTCCATAATTCCCCCGGCTGCAGTCGATGAAATGGGTATCCCTCAAGTTTTTAGCATGGACCAGCGTTTACCTCTTCACCCTGAATCCAGCTCTAGTATTGCACCTATCTACCATGTTACTTCAACCCCAAAGACACTTGTCTCTGGGACAGATTGGCTGAAGGACATTAACCTTCAGCTCGAACGGGAACGACGGATTGCAGCCCGCGACCCTTCCATCCAGGTTTATGGCAGCCTTCAAGAAGAGACAATGGTAGCACGTGGTCGAGATTGGCGGGAAATTCTTACAGGTGATAAAGGGGGGGTTTCAAAATATTCATCGGACAACGATGCCACAGAAGCGCTACGTTCTTACCTTGGTCTCAAGGACCCTAGATTAACTGAGCTCCCTGGCAATATCGTTCATGATTCAAAGCACAAGGTTACAGGTATTCACACGCCCTACCTTTACATTGGGCAAGCATACACCCTTTTTGCTCTCCATGCAGAAGACTATAATGCATTTTCATTGAATTACCAACATCTTGGCGCCCCCAAGACGTGGCGTGTCGTCTGCCCACGTGACTTTTACTTAGTTGAAGGCTTTGTTGATGGGGTTCTTCATCCTTCCTCCTCATCCGGAAAGGAACCGGCGAAATGCTCTCAGTTTGTTAGACATGCTTCATTGTTTTTGCCTAAAGAAACCTTAGAAACCGCTGGGGCACGCTCAATCCAGTTCAGTCAAAATCCCGGAGAATTAGTAGTTACATGGCCATTGGCATACCATCAAGGATGGAACGAGGGTGTGAATGTCAATGAAGCGTGTGGCTATGGTCATAAGGGGTGGAGGAAAGTGTTTGGATCCGGTGAAGATGATCAGAGTGAACACAAGGTTTATAGACCATGTGGTTCGAGGTGCATAGGTGATAATGCGCCTATCATTCTAAGTTTCGGACCAGAAGATTTGGAAGGAGTGGTTGACTGCGCTGGTGGTACAAGTGATGATACGATCTTGCCCGAGCTGACAAGGAAGAGTATGTCCACTGCTACTACCCCCCGCGCATCTGCTTCCGCCACTGGTCGTCGGAAGAGACCTAGGGCGCGGGAACTTGACGAGAGAGAGAGCCTGGGAATTATCAGTAACCCAGCAGCGCCTTTTAAAAAAACCAAAGTGGTCAAGGATGAGGAAGAAGATAACACGAAAATGGCTAAGGAGGCAGCAGTATTTGTTGGGGGGTCTCTCGAGCAGGATACGATGACGAAACATATAACGATGCACCGCGAGCAGCGGATTGAAGGAGATGGGGTCTCAGCGGAAGATGTTTTGATTCCCACTCAGGCCGGCATAGCCGCACCTGGAGATATTGTCAACCGTACAAAACGGTAGAGTGACGTCCTTAGGTAGTTACGTGGATCAGGCTAGATTACGTATTTAGGATTTTGCGGACCTTTTTTTGCATCTTTTAACACCTTACACTGTATAACGCCTTTCAACATTTTGGTATGGGAGTTCGTCTTTTTTTCATGTTCTTTTTACTAATGTTTTATTTGTATGTACTTACACACCATCGTATAACTGTACCAAATGTTCCTTTTTGGTCTGTAATTTATGGGTTATGTACGGGTGTTCTGGGTGGGTATTCGTTTCTTCATTTTGCAAAACGGAGTTTTGGTAGTAGATACTTGTAGGACGTTAGTAAAGCGGAGGTGGTATTTTACATGGTTGCCACTGGCTTTCTTTTTTTTTAAAAAAAAAGGACGACTCTTGGAGATTTGTTGTGTAAAGTACTTTAATTTCAACTGGAAAAGTAGTTCTTTTTAGGGAGTCCTCGATTCCCCCCAAACTATCGTTCTTATAATGTTCAATAGCGACGTGCGTTTCGGAATAAAGAAAGCTCACCAGAGAGGGAGTTCTACATAACCCCTGGTTCATGACTTGATCCATGAAGCCTATCCGGCAAAAGTCAAGCTCAGTTACAGCAATCAGAACGCTATATCGATTTCGACGTTGACAGGAGTCTGAATATATTGTAATATGGTGATTTCAGTCAGCTAGGTGTTACGTGGGGGTGTTATGATTCGGGCCCGATTACTTTTCTTTCTCCAGATTAGTTGCACACATAGATAGACTCTTTCTACAAGAGTACACACACGGACATGGTTCATGTCTTTGATGGAATTGGGTGGGGGTTATACTTGGTGATTTTAATATATTATAGTTTTCTTCTTCTTGATAGGGTGGAGAAGCGAGGAGGTTATATATGCCAAGGCTGGAGTAGGATGGGTACCCACTATCAGCACTGCCGTGCCAATATGGGGGCCTTGACATGGAATGCCCCCCCCCCCCCTTCCTTTTTTTAAAAATTTTTTTTTGTTTACATCACATTACTGCTAGGTACATGTTGTTAATGGCTGCCTGTATTATCTTACAAAGAACATGGTAACTCCCTTAACTGTGACCGGCGGGCGTCCAAAATACGCATTGTCAGGCATGGGATTCGGGACGAGGCAAGCTTGTCAGCAGCCCCGTTGAGTGCATGTATCAAGCACTTCCTCCCCTTTCTCAATGACGATCGAACGGGTTGATAGCCAGGCGTATGTGGTGTGGTAGTAACTGCATGGCACAAAGGAAATCACACCGCAGGGTTTGATCATGATCAGACGAATTCGCGCAAATTCGGAGGTTTAGATACAATACATGTACATATGTGGCTTGTTAACATGTTACAGCCTAGCCACTCTCCGCGGGAGGATCACGGCCTCTCACTCGCCGGCTACTAGCCGAGCATTTGACAACAGGGATACACACATGCCCATATTTGGACGGTTCCTCGTATTCATTCTACATGTAGGTACAGGTATGTACAAGATGTACCTATCGGTTTGCAACACTCTATGTTAGTAGAGTATACATGTAGTGCTATCGTGATTAGATTGTATTACTTGCCTCTTTCACCAAGTAGAAGCTGACACAAAATTAAGACCTAAGAATAGTTTGAGGAATCGTACAAGTCGCACCAACCAACACCCTTTGTCTCTATGTGGTTGCTATACTTATACCCTACTCCCTCTCTCCCTCTCTCCCTCTCCCTCTCCCCCTCCCTCTCCCCCTACCTACTCTACTCTGCCTGTCCCGATGCCGGGTCAGGTCACACGGAGATTAATTTCGAGTATCATACGGGTAGATTTCTTTAGTGCATGATTTAGACCACAATCCCTGTAGACATCATGCAATCCATTGCAGTACGAAGGGATCCATTTTACGCCGCGAACGGTTAAAACCGCAATCTAACAAACATGTGCCTAAAATACGAGTCTAGGTTTATTATTTTCCCTTTGAACAAAAATTTGAAAGGTTAAAAAATAAAATAAAATATCAAAAAAAAATGTTTCACTTAATGACGTGGTTCGAGGATTCGACCTTTGCCGGCTCTGCAGGAACGAAAAATGTTATGTACGCGAAGCTTATTCGGCTGTGAGACACACGAGGCAAAGAGTGAGGGTACATGTACCGTACTCTAGGTTTGTATGGATGTAGGTGCCTACAAGGGCAATTTCAGATCTTGTTCCGATTCTGACCTTTCACCCAAAAATAGACACAGCCAGGAAGACATCGCTAGGGCGTGCATGGTGGATGTGGGGTTCGCGAATGGTGAATCCCTGAATACGCACAATACCTGGGGGATTGGGGAGAGGAAGGGTCTGAGTTAGTTCTTACTTCTTGGTGGATGGACTTCCGGATAGTATTCCTTTGTTTGCGTTGTTTGCGGTTCAATAGTAACTGTAGATATGCACCAAGGCCAAGAGTTTCCCCGTACGGTTACCGTAAGAGTGTGCATACAGCGCAAGAAAAGGCAAATATACTCTGTCACGATCCCTGATTGGTTCTGTACCACGCTCATCCGTATTCCTCCCCCAACTGCCCGATTGTTTCTCCTCCCCGCATTTATTTGCCAAGGCCTCACTTTGTAGCTCGTGTGGTCACCAGGTCTACTGTTACCATCTACATAGAGAAAATGTGAGCCATCCCAGTCGTTTCTCGAGGAATCGTGCAACCAGTATGATGTTCTGGGAGAAGTATTTATGCTGGCTGTATGGCCCCCCTCCCACCAGCCTGCCCACAGCTTTTGGACAGCAACCGGTCGTTAGGTGTTCAGAAAGGAAGAAAACTCGGTATATCAACAACTAACCTTCGTTCAGTGTTGTGGATACCATTGTCGTTCGCTCTAAGGAATCAACGCTCGTTCAGCTCAGCAGAGATTAATAGTATAAATCTCGATTATCACGCATAGTCAATACCTAACTGAGAATATCTTCTACCATACTTTCGAGCTCTAATTCATCACCAACATGTCTTTCGCTAAATCCATATCCGGGGTTGCCCTCGCCATTGTCCTCCTCCAGGGTGCCATGGGAAATCCGGTCTCGAAAACTACCTATGTGTATGCCTCCGGTACTTCCAGCCCTGCTCCAAGCTCGACAACGGTTGAGTATGAAGGCCAATGGGATGCCTGTGACAACACTCCTGCCCCATATGGGTGCCCGTCTTCCATCTCTACATCGGCCTGCCCATCAATCTGTGCGGATTATATCAACGAGTGTGGAATGATGTATGGCGGTTGCTTGTAAGTATACCCTTTTTCTACCTTCTTAACTTAGATCGATTTATGAATCCTCTATACTTCCCCAATATCCCAATCTAACTACTGCACATCCCCTCCCCTCCCGGGTTCGAGTCATTGTTCCAACCGCTAAAACCTGTAATAAGCCCGGATCCCCAATGTACCGGCGGGACTGCATGGCCAACATTCTCAAAACCACCCTGCCCTACAGTCAGTCCCACATCTTCGGCTTGCCCAACTATCTGCGCAGACTACATTAATGATTGTGGCCAGATGTACGGCGGCTGCTTGTATGTTCTTAGCTCTCACTTCTCTAGCTCTATATCTGAATATCTAGCTTACAACGTATACTTTCTCTAGTCCTGACCCACAGTGCACTGGTGGAACTGCATTCCCATCTTTCTCCAAACCCCCATGTCCTACCACCACCACGGCACCACCGCCAACTATCACTACAGTTCCTGGCTCGACTACTACATGTAGCACATTTATCTGCTCAGACTTTATCAACAGCTGCGGTAGGATCGAGGGAGTCTGCTTGTAAGTTCCATGTGCCCGGTGTGTCTTTAGATATATCAAAATCTTAACCTCCTGTAGACTTGACCCATACTGTACCCACAATGGCGTCTTCCCGACTACCTACAGCCTAAGTCCGTGCACTACTATTACCGAAACTTATACCCCCTCCCAAACATGCAATACTATCTGCGTCGATAAAATCAATAGTTGCGGTCAGACGTACGGCGGCTGCTTGTAAGTTTCTTCAATCTTCCTTTTTTTCCATTACACCTGCCACCCGTACTAAAATATCATCCTTCTATCCAGCCCGGACCCAACCTGTACTGGTGGCACTGTCTGGCCGACATTCACCTCGCCCGCGTGCCCCACGGGAACTAGCTCCACATCAGTCTCAGTTACGACAATAACACCCGCGGCATCCCCTTCCACAACGTTGGAGACTGATACCGTCACTTCCTATACCAGCATTGCACCAAACACAGTCACGGTTACGTTCACTTCACAAACTGTGATAATCCCGTCTTCATCGTCGGCGGCAGTGGTGGCGGCCGGTAATGGAACACGTTCTGGTGGGGTGTCGCCCACTGTATCAGAGCAGGCGCCTCAGCCGATATTTACCGGAGAGGCAATGAGGAACAGAATGGGATGTGGAATTGTGGCGGTTGTTGTGGCGGTTGTTGTGGCGTTCTTGTAGTATGTCGGATGAATTAATGTAATAGGACCATGTTTTATTTTTTGTTACGGAATCATGATACGACCATGGGTGTTCTCATGAGCAGTAGTTAATTTACGAATTCCTTTCCCCACTCTGCCTCAAACATTCCCTATTGCGCGGTGTAGTATGGATAGGCTCAGCTGATGTAGTCGAATTTCCTCACGTTTCCTTAATTAAGCTTTGTTTATCAGCTCTCTTGAGCTTTCCTTAGCTACATCTTACATGTACGTATGTAGTTAACCTCGTACCAGCAGCATGTAGCTAGATAGCACAATACCAATTCAAATCAATTTCCTGAGTGTGTGTGTGTGTGAAATCAATTTCCTGAATACCTAGTTGTCTTATATTATGACCCAAGCGATCAAAAAAAAGAAAAAAGAGAAAAAAGAAAAGGAGAGGAAGAAAAAAAAACTCCCTACTTTGTACCCTGGCAGCCACGCCCATCGCGCATCAAAGTGCATATCCAACAAAATAAGCTTTCGCGCACCCTGCGAATCACAAGACCGACCGGGGAGGAGGACGGGTATCGATATGCAGGAACCAGGTTATGACACGTGATGCGGTTTTTGTTTCTCCACGGAGGTTTTTGTAGTACCGCTGGTCCGCGGGCGGGACGGGCGTAGGGACCTGGATTGGGAGATGGGGGGACGAGGTGGGAGTGTGTGTATATGTGTGGGTGTGATAGGTGTTGTGGCCAGGTATTGGATTGGATGACAGGAATAGGAACAGGAACAAGAGGGGTGAGGGGAGAAAGGTTGTTCCTGTGGATCAGCTCGGAGACATGGAGATTTGAGGGGAGTGGAGTGGCGAGTGATATGTGGTGAGGATGGATAGCGAATAGGCTTTCGTCCGCCACCCCGCCACCCCAACTGCGTTCTTACGGGGCCGGAAGGTATATATTAGCTACCCCGCACATCGATGTCTATGAGGCGAAGTAGTTGTACTTGTATGACTTGTATGGTATGATAAGGTGTTGTTCTACGCTGTATGGCAGCACGGGACCTGCGGATACTTGTCTGCCTGACTGCAAGCAGATATGTGTGCATACGAAATACGAATTTAAATACCAACATGATCCCCCATCCTCACTGCTGTGTACAAGTCCCACTTCCCTGGTTTTGAGTATCAACTACATGATGGGGCACCCGGGGTCGGCGATGTAAGCGCCGTGTGTGATATTGGAAGGCTGCGGGGGTGAGTTTCGTGGGTATGGGGCCTGCAGGTGGTCTATAGAGCGAGGTGAGTAGAGACTGCGCGTAGTAGAGGGGTTTGTCGGAGTGAGGCGGTATGCTGCAGAGGTAGTTACTTGTGGGAGGTGGTGGACGCTGATGACGAGGGTAGGGGAGACGCACGGGGCGTACGAGCTGCAATATTTACAATCTACTATTTACATCCTATAAACGAATGTGTACCGAGAAAGTTTCAATACAGCAGGTATAAATCTCATAGCTAACAAAAGGATATATGGGGTAGTCCCGGAGCTAATGGGAAGATCTGCTTGCAATTGCGTACAAGGTAATTAGGGCCCGGATACCTGTACTCGGGCTCAATATGTAGGGATGGAGCGGGCCACGAAAAAAAGCTTTTTGTTTTTTTGTTTCATTCATTGACCACGAAAAGATGCGGCCCACCCTAAAAATCTTTTTTCTTTTTGCTGCGGGGATGTAAGTAGATAAAGTAAGAGAGCGAGAAATGTTAATAGTAATAAATTAAATATATATACACATGTAGTAAAGCACTTGTAGCTATGTACATGTACATGTATCTCTCTATCTCTCTCTCAACCTCCACCTACACTCGGCTTCTGCTGATAACTTCACCCCACCTAAAACCCCCCGGCTCATTGCTAGCACGTATAACTAGAACCCTCCTCTCGCCGCACCCAGCACTTATTATTGCTCTGTATTTATCTAATGCTTCTTAATTCATTCTCCGACACCATCAATCCCGTATTGCGCCTATCATCTGTTTACATGACCGCCGAAATGGGCGTTCACCCTTCATGCATATGCCGAAGGACCACACACCCTCAGTAAACGAGAATAGGGTTTAGCGTCATGGGTGTCGAGTGATATAGTATGACGGAGATCACGTTACCCCGCAAAGCCGTTAATCGAATCTCGTCGGCTCAGCTTTTGAACTCTAGGTTTCGATTAACGGACTTTACTCTCAGCGAGGAAGAATCGCACTACTTCGACGATCGCATCCCACCCCACAACTACATTGACCCACAGGGCCTCCCTACAACCAGGGCCATCCTGTAAACAAGCACCAAGCTCAAGCAGACTGGCTGTGGTCATTTCCGAGGACCAAAAATTCTCAAAATCAGAAGACTATCATGATGACGTACGTCAGCTGAGGGGGGCAAAGACCTACCGATGCGGAAAATTGATGTCACGGTGCCACCTTTTGATTAAAACTCCTTATTTCTTCTTTTCTCCTTCCTGTCCCTGAATCTCTCAGATTCTTGACAAGCCCTACCGAATCTTTACTACTCCAACACGCCCAATATGACAAAGCTCAAGAATCCCCTCCTGCCGCTCTATGTGCTGTTTAGGCACAATCCTAATGACCAGAGAATTTCGGGGGTTGGGTGGATGAATACTGATGCGAAGAATCGTGAGTTTTTTGATAGAGGAACTTCTGTGTTCATTCTGCGGGAATGGATAGCTAATTAGAATAATTAAATCTGATAGACTTTGTTGCGTCTGTAGGCCTTTCTATCCTTTTATATGTTGCCTGCTGTTTTATCGTGAGTGGAATATATTGATATTGAGTCCTGAACTCTTGGCGTAAATAAAGTTAGCCGAATTTGTTGGTATGTTGGCTATGTCCCTGGCTGCTGCTTTTCCGCGCGCAACTGATGTGCCGAATAGGAACTGTTTTGTTTTTGTTCTTCGCATTCGGTAATATAATTATTCACATCTAGTGACAATCGTGCATCCCTGCATTTCTGCTAATCCTTCAACAGGAGGGACCCAAGTTGCAAGCACAACTGATGTCCAACATGGAACAACAAGTACCACCATGTCCGCCTCTGATACTAGTATCCTTTTGTATATTGCTCTTAGCTTTGGCTTCAGTTTGGCGGTTAATGCCTGGATATTCTTTCGGGTCAGTGGAGGCTTGTTCAACCCTGCTGTAAGTAAATCCGGATCCCATATCATTCGTTGACTTCCAAGTATGACCTAGTTGGTGGGTTTCTGATTTTGTATCCTGCAGGTCACGCTAGCATTGGTGTTGGTGGGAACGATGTCGTTGCGCAGGTAACGGACTCTTCACGATCTGTCACTCGACCTACTAAGCAACCGCAGGGGAATCTATATATGCATATCCCAAATCGTGGGGGCTATTGCTGCTTCAGCAATCATAAGCGCCTTACTCCCAGGACGCCTGTCAGTCGAGGCTTTACTCACTGGTGAGTTTTTTCTATATCCAGAGGGCTGTTTGAGAAAACCACACTGACTAGAATGGGCGGCAGGCACGAGCGTTGTAAGAGGGTTGTTCATTGAGATGTTTTGTACCTGTCTGTTGGTTTTTACGATATTGATGTTGGCTGTTGAGGTATTGTTTTCTACTGTGAATCTCTCTCATACGGTAATTTTGACGAAATAATAGAAACACCGAGCAACATTTATTGCGCCAATCGGTATCGGATTGGCGCTTTTTATCTCCGAGATGGTTGGTAAGTTGAACTCTCACCAGAGAAAGGGATCCGGAAAGTTCCTCCACTGGCCGCTAATATTTATATCACTCAGCTGTATTCTATACCGGTGGCGCTATCAATCCCGCCCGTGCCTTTGGGCCCGCAGTTGTAGTGGGAAGTTTTCCTGGCTATCATTGGATCTACTGTAATCTCTTGAAATCTTTAACCTCTTTTCTTCTTCGATATCCTAACACATATAATAGGGGTTGGACCCGGTCTAGGTGCAATGTTGGCTTCTTCCTTCTACAAGCTAATCAAGATCCTCGAATACGAGTCAGCAAACCCAGACCAAGATGCAATGGAGCGGAAAAAAGACGAGCATGAAGCTAAGACTGGCCACAGGCCTAGCGATGCAAGTACGTTATCGCCGACCTTGAATGCTGAAGGTACTAGTGGCGGAGCAAGGGGTGGGGAGGGCGCAGGGCTTGCTTAGAGGATGTAAAACATGTAATGTGGTGGCGGAGAATGCAAGATGGGTGTGGTGAGCAGAGGTAATTTTTTGTACACCTACTTTGTCTATTTGCATGGGAAAAGTTCACAAAGAACAGGTCGCGGGACCACACGTACAATAACATAAGGGTCTGGGGAAACGATCCCATGGCGGGGGTGGGGGTGCGGTGTGTATATATTCAAGTAGTTATAGGAATGGGTATGAGATAATTGTGCTTGGGCTTCGTATATATATAATCGGTAGATTAGTGTCGATACTTTGCTCAAAGAAGTTTTATATATAGCGTCATAGTTACTTGTAGCTATCTCCTTGAACATTTAACCTAGTTAAACTAAACCATCCTGTCTGGATCATGACACATCACTCGAACATGTGCTTTCATTTTTCATTTGTCTAAAATACTACGGGAGCGGCGGTGGATGAGATGGGGTAGTTCAGGGGACATTGCCATAACTGTAAGGTTGCATGCAATTAATGAATTAAACAAAAAAAAATCTACAAGACACGTGCGGCCGGTCCAGATATAATAGTCCGGACTACTCCTCATCTCTAGCGTCCTTCAAAGTTCCCCACCCATCTCCTCGTTCTCTTCTTTCCTCTTCCGCGCTCTCGTCCTGTCCATTTCTCTCATATACGTGTCTTGTAGAACGGATTATGTGAGAAAAGGACACTACGTACTACATCTAGTTGCCACATGTTCTCAGTTTATCCTCCCATCCTATGAGTATCTCCTCCTCTTCTTTCCCCACATTTCACCGCCAAAAACTGTATCGGAAACTTTCTGCATGGCTCCCTCACCTGTGTACATGTACGTACATAGCGTCCATGACACAAAAGCCAAACTGCATCTCTACGCGCATCTACATACCCGCACTATCAACCTTCTTTCCGAAAAACTATTACGGCGCAAGGGATTATTATCTCAACCCGAGTACACCGGTTTAGAAATATAGGGAGCACACCGTTCAAGACGTTGAATATATCCTGTGTGAGATAAAATAAAGATAAAGTTTAGGTTGCGCCGAATTAAGCTTCTAGATAATTATAGTGAGGTATTAATATTCTACTACCCCTACCCCCCTTTCAATCACCATAAGGAAATTGGAGTATATTCTGATATATGTAGTCATGTTGACAGGGACTCTGGCCTAGGAAATATGACCCGCGCGTGTAGCTGATCTTGGACTATGTGTGGGAGTGGTGGTTGGGCCTAATCACCGCTGCGGATCGCTGCGGGCCACTGCTTTTACTCATTTCGTGGCCTTAACCTATGGCGGTGCTTTCTCTTTGTGGGGTAGCTAGGGGAAACAACTACAGAGTTCGGGCCGTTGCGCAACTTTGGTGCGCCTTGTCGTATGTTCTTCTTTTCTCACTATGGTTATCAGAAGAGCTTGCCCCAACTTAATTCTTCTTCGATTTATCAGGTCGACTTGAGTTGCTCTTTTTTGCGGCGAAAACCCGTGCCTTCCGCGCAGCCTTCCGACAGACTAGAAGCCTCCACCCAGCAAGTAGAGTACACCTCATACCCACATGAGCAGGAGACTGAACCCTCATTGTGGATCCAGTGCCGTGCGTGTTGTTGGCGAGAGAGACACACAAGGCCGCCTACCAGTAGGTACATGATGTAGTTAAGGTTCGCGGGGGTTAGTCCGATCGAATCAGAAGACGTTTTTTCGGGTATCGATCTGGGCCATGGCGCATCATGCCTATCACAGCCAGTCACTCGACAACGATGCCTACGCCACAGCTTATCCCAGCCAGACGCGCGCGCCTGAGAAGCTGGTACTAAGTCTATCTGCCATAGCCATAGGGCTGATTGGAAACCTGATGACGGCGGCGGGGATCTCGAGAGGCCTGGTTTATTCTATGGGAGAAACCTGGATACTGTTTAATTGGGTATTTGACATCATTGCCATTTCCTTTTCTCACCGCGTTCCCCCTGGCATAGGTATATCCGTCTATCAAGTTACATGCTTAGGCTATAATTAATATATTGACGTTCACAATTGGCTATAAGGGATCAACCATAGACGTGAAACTCGACAGAGGATGTGGCTACCCGCTTAATCAATTGTTTCTCCAGGGGGGGAGAGGGAGGGTCTATTATGCGGAAGTGGTTGTGTGTGGCCGTCGTCGAAACGTGCAAGGGGTGGTGGAGGGAGGGGGGATTGGATTGACTGCCATGCAACAACAATAACAAGTCATTTGGGGAGGGCTATCCCGGTAGTTATCCGCCTGAGGAAAGGATAACAGTGGTACTGATTTTAATTTGTTCGGTATACCTGCAGTATGTACTCTACATTACTTTGATGGAAGGTTTTGTTTGAATATTAAAGGAGACTGGTTTCCCTCCTCTCTCTAAATGCTGGCTGTTTGTTCTGGCTGTCTGTTGCTGTATACTATTTTTCTTTTCTCGCTTAGGATTCTTTGTTGAATTTCTTGAGTGGCCGACATTCGTTTATTTCTTGGTTACAGCCAGTTAGTGCTTATATCTTATCAGATCTCGGTAGCAGACTCAGAAACTATCACTCGCAGTAATTCAACCCTCATACTCAAACCAACCATCTACACCACATTCTATCCCCCACCACGCTCATTAAACCAAAAAAACACCCATTCCAAACACTCCTTCCAGCCCACCACAAACATTTCAAACACCCAAGCCTCACCTCACCACATCACAAACTAAACACCACAACCACCACCACCACAAAACACAATTCACAATGGCTCTCACCGTCCGCGAACCAATCTTCTGGAACCGCTTCTCCCTCTCCGCCCACCAGGCTGCCGAGATCCGCTCCATCATCTCCGACCGCGCCGACACCGAGAAGGCCGACGGCGTCACTACCACCGTGTTAGCTTTCCCCTTGTCCCGTCCCTTCCTTCCCTTCCCTTCGATTCAATTCACCCCTTCGTTCATTCCTCGGCCGATGCAATATTTTTGCTAACAAAGCAGTAACAACAACAGTACCCCCACCCCGACCCCATGGCTCTCGAAGCAGCAGAAGAAGCGCCGCAGATATTGGATCTTTTGTTGGATTGTCATGGTCGTTATTGTGGCGCTGTGTGGTGCGCTTGCGGGTGTGATTACGTATTTGAAGAATTCACATGACTGAATTGGGAGGATAGAAGTGGAGGGTGGGGGGTGGGGGGTCCGTTGAGCGGATCAAAAGGGCGATGGCGGTGTATTAGTGATATTTGGAGTTTTTTGTTCAGGAATGGAGTTATGGATATGGTTCTTTTTCCTTTTTTTTCCTCTACATACTATTTTTTTTCCCTTCCCCTTTCTACTCTTACGCTCATGTAGGCAAGATATTTACTTTGATGTTTGTAATATCTACTGAGCTGGGAAAATAAAGAGATGCATGCCATGCTCTCAAAACGCAATAAAATAAATATCGCTTTTTATGATAATAATACTGATTGTCCAGGAATACTTGTATGTGAATAACAACTAACCACAGTACCAATAGCTATATGAAAAAAATAACAGATACGAAATAAATGCTAGTCCTAATAATGATAAATCCTCCCCTCTTTTCTACCAGTACATACATCTAGTTGTTATTATTCTTCTTCCCCTTCGCCTTCACCTTCTTTCCTTTCCCGGCAGCGGCACCATCAGCGGCAGCAGCACCATCAGCAGCAGCAGCAGCCGCCTTCGTAATCTTCGTTAACCTCAGTACCGTATTTGCATCCAGGTCCGTCTCAGACAAGACCTCCTCTACATCCCCCGCCGCCGCCGCATCTCCTGCAGCCGCACCGTCGCCCGCAGCTGCTTCCGTCCCATTACCCGCCGCCGCACCAGCACCAGCATCAACCGCCGTACCATTCCCAGCAGCAGCATCCTCGCCCACAGCAGCAGCCCCACTCCCCGCCGCAACAGCTGCCGCAATCTCGGCGGCTGTGGCGTCTTCCACTAGTAGGTTCTCAGTAAAGATGCACCCCTCGGGATCGTCCAAGGTATCACAGGTGTTTCCAGCACCCGTCGGATCTCCAATCTCGCCGGGGGCGAATGTGCCTGACTGGAGTGCGACCTGTGGGTCGCCGCCTACAGAGTCAATCTGGACGGCGAGTTCGAGAGCGATGGCCTTGTTTGTTGCTGCCGCGCCGGCGCTGGCTGGGTCCTGTTTTTTGGGTATTAGTTATGTGTTATATATCTAACATGGGAGAGAGGGGGGGGGGCTAACTTGGTGTTGGGTCAATGCGGCGATCTCGGGGTTAACGGGGGTGATGCTGGTGCAGAGGACACTGGCGAGACCGACGCTACCTGTGTTGCGCTCGAGGGTTCGGTATACGAGGGCTGCCACCATGCCGTCGACGGCGCCAGCGGCTTTTGCATTGGTGAATGCTTGGTCTGCAGTGGCTTGTTGGAGGCAGTCGGCATCCGTGATCTTGCCAGCACCTTTTATGGCCGCCTATATATGCACTATTAGTATCTTCATATATCGTAGCAGAGGAGGGACATACAGCATTCCCCAAGAGCCCAAACACAGGATCCGCAATCTCGTCGGGATTATCGAGGTTGAGCGCGGCGCCGGTGAGTGTGAGGAACTTCTCGTGCGAGTGTTCCTGCGGAACCTCACGCCTTCCGAGTGTTCTGTGGGTTGTTGGGCTGCGGCGGGCCTTTTGCTGCGTGAGCGTGCGTGCGGAGACGAGGGTGAGGAGAAAGGTGAGAGAGATTGTGAGCTTCATTTTTTGGAGTATTTTGGGGGGGGGTGTTATTTAGTTATTAGGGGAGCCGGCCCAGGTATGCTGTGTGTATGAAAAGAATAGGAGCCAAAGAACGTAATTGAGCCAGTCAAACAAGTCGGAAGGTCGCGCAGCGAGCGATATTAGGAAAACGGAAGAAACTAATAGTGGGTAGAGAAGAGAATGAGGAGGAGGGAAAAGAACAGTCAAAGTCAAAGACCTTATAAATAAAATCGTTATTGAGTAGATCAACATATAAAACACATATCTCGTCAGATCCACGGGGATCACGAGAAATAAGCTATGTGGTACAGTTTCTGTACTGTAAAGAGACGAAACTAGGGCAGTTTCCTCTTGTCCCAACAACATCATCATCATTATCAGAAGTAGAATATGTTGTTGTAGTTGTTGCATAGCAGAACTCGCTCATTCAGGCATTGCGCACACTCAGGCTATGTGTCAATGACTGTTATACCCTGTCAACCTTAAACATCCCCGCCATACCAACCCACCCCCTGAAACCATTGAGGTTTGTAACCCTCAAGCTTTCGGTTTTGGCAGGTCGCCAATCCACTTTTCAAGGATGAGAAGCTTCTCTTTATTAAGAGTTGGTCGGCGCCATGGGAGTGCCAAGGGTTGCTGATAGGGGAGGTATTACATGGAACGTGTTTGGCGTAGGGAAGCCCCGCAGAAGGATTTGCAAAAAGAGTTATAATGCGGCCCCATGAGTATGAATGTTAGGCTTTTACGCGCCCAATCATTTTGCCCGTGAGTGAAATCTTGACACTAGATAGCCGAGTGATATACCATGTAGGAGGAGACGAGCCAAGCCAAACATGTCTCGAGATTTTATATCCTGAAAAAACGCAGAGCGGTCCGTTTTTAAGGGGCTGGATGTACGATAATTATAACCCAGCGCATAATTAAATGGCCTCATCATCATCCTTTATGTACTACATGGAGGTGTTGGCTTTGTTAGTCCGGTGCAGTTAGGTGGTATAAGTAAGTTCTCCGGGGCTGGAGGGGCAGGGCGATCGAGGGCGGCGATATACGTGTGGAGTATGAATTCTAAAGACAGGAATTCCCTTTCAGTCTTGGATGCTTTCCAGGTTTGGTCCCGGCCCAGAGAACTTAAAGCACACAATCCCCGGGTTGGAGAATGGGACATCCTTTTATCACAGATCATAACCAAGGAATTGATTGTAAAGGAAGGGAGTCTAGTCGGGTATTTAACTACATAATCCATAATAGCGACTGGCATCCTCTCATTAAAACGGACCACGTACCCGCCCCTTTAACTAACCATATATCATTGTTGCCCTTTATCGGCAAGAGCACTACAATATGCAAACACATAGGTTGGCAGCGTCCAAGCCTAACTAGTATATACACCTAACCCTAAATCAACTGGCTCAAGTGAAAAATGGACTGAAATCCATCACCACGCCTTAGTATAATAGAAACTGGTCTATAACTTCACTGGTGCGTATATTCCATCTCTATTTTAGACTTTAGTAGATAGCAAATTAATCACTTACCATCTTACTCTATCGCATTGCCTAGCACGTTTGATTGTTTTACATCTCCTAGCTACCAGAATTAGGAACATTTCCAGGCTCCGCTTAAGATCACCAAGGTCTTCCACCAGCGCTTCTTTCTCTATGATAGCCCTAGGCCTTAAACCGTCACCAAAGTGCTGACCCACAAAAAAAAAAAAAGCAAATTTGGTGTGGCTTTACTAACAGATCTTCTTATCTTTCTTATCAAATAATAGATCCCCCATACAAGTTCAACCCCTATATCACCGGGGTCAGCAATTGACGGGTTAAGGGATAGCGCAGTTTGTAGGTAGGTTGCTTGATGCACATAATCATAGAAGATCACTCGCTTGCCAAGAAGTAACCTCTTCTTCATACGCTATTTGAGCTTGGCAAGGGAACGAGTCTGCTAATCTGGTAGTTCAAGTGTCATAGGAACACACACACGAAAGCTCGATTGGCGGGTGGGCGACATAACGGGATATGAAAGTATCTCGGAGTATTTTTTATGGTTTTTACTTTAGAGAAAGGGGGGTTCTTCTTAGTGACCAAATTTAAAGGGAGGTTTTTACACAGCTCTAGCGGTATTGTTGCAAAAGAACTTGTCCGTTTAATATTTAGCATTAGAAGAGGTTGTCATTTTTATATATACCCCGTGGCGCTTGCTGAACCGGTGAGGGATCTCTAACGCTCAAGAGACATCGCTCGAGTAACTAATATTTAGATACAATCTTAATTCAGCATGTATGTTACATAACTACATAGGAGTGCGTTAAGTACTTTTATATAGTTTTAGAGAAAAGAAATTATACGTCCTACCAAAAATTCTAGATCTTATGGCCTCATATGTGCACTAGCCCTGCAACTAATAACCTCATCATATGTACATATAGTTACGTTATGTGCACATATCTAGGGGTCAGATTGCGCATGTCACGTGAACCCCAACCTTAAAAAGATGAAACCTTACTTTGACCTCCAAGGTGGAGGCCCGGGGCGCTCAATCAATACGGGTTCTGACACACCACAAAGCCGCCATTATCAACGAGAAACTCTTTTTTTCTTCTGTCCAAGTTTCACATACACACATTATCGACCCATCATACACAATTCTCTGATTCCAAATAATTGATTTCCCCCCCCTTCTCCCCTTTCTCTTCCCGCCCGCCTTAACTTAAAAGGGCCCATCAAAATAAACTAAAAATTATAAAAACACATATCTCAAATAACCATAATCACAAAAACTACATCTACATCATAACACTTTTATCTAAAGAGCCGGCGCATTCGGGTCACCGAGACACTGGTCAACTCTCATCAAGTTCTTTCCGCTGGCCTTTGCCAATTGGATAAACTGCTTCAAGTACCCAACGGTGCTAGGGTAGAGGTAGTGCATAACCACCAAGTTACCGCCCTTGGCCAGATCGCGCTTGAAGGCATCGAGCTGCTTCTCGGGGGTGCTTGAGGTAGCGTAGAGCCAATCTTCGCAGTCTGTAGCACAGTTGTTAGTTTCGTGTTACTCTATATATATTAAATTGGGGGGGAATAAGGTTAGACATACCAATAGACCAGTTGATCAGCTTTCCGCCAGGAATCAACGCAGCAATTCTCTGTCTCATCTTCGCGCCCTCATTTCCAAACGGAGGTCTGAAGTACTTTGAGGTAATACCGAGGGTCTTGGTAACAGCGTCGATATCCTGCTGAATCTCCCAATCGATAGCCTCATTGGTGCCGAGACCCTCAATCTTAGGGTGAGTGAATGAATGGTACGCGACCTGGTGTCCCTGCGCCATCATCTCCTTGTAGACGTTTGTAAGATTGGTTGAGGCGTCGAGAAGGGCGGCACCGACGGTGAAGAAGGTGACCTTGATGTTCTCCTCCTTGACAATCTGCATGACCTGTTGGGCGAGCTGTGGGTCGCCGTCATCGATGGCGAAAGCGAGTGAGTTTGGAACAGAGCACGAGAACACCAATGGCGCGGTAGGGAGCTTAGAGCGGATAGTGACGCCTGATGGGATGGTCTTGACGATCTCGATCTTGGAGATGACGGTGTTGGTGCTTCCGGTGAAGCCCTTGAGTGCAAATCCAATGGTGCGGGTCCTGACGATGTCGAAGTGGGAAATTGGAACATAGATATCGGTCGCAGTAGCATAGCGGCCGGCATCAACCTCGTCCCAAGTCTCTGGGTACGGTGCAATTGCTTCGTTGCAGGCCGAGTTGTGTTGCTGGAGAGCAATGGAGAAGGCGCTGGAGCCAGTGTATGCAATGTGGAGGTAACCATTGTCGTAGGTAGTCATGTCACGGCACGTGCCAGTGAGCTGAGTGTAGAAAGCAAGATCACTATCCTTGTATTTGATGGTAAGCGTTCCGCCGGAAATGGTGTATCCAGTAGTATCATCACCACCGTGCCAGAATCCGAGAGCGTTGGAGTCAGGGTTGGCGAACTGGTCAATCACGAAAGCGGTGGCAGTGGCAGAAGTTGCGGGAACAGTGTTGGTTGCGACGCTGTCAGTGGGTGTAGGTGCAACAACATACTCGGTGGCAGTATTGCCGCAGTAGAATGCGAGCGGGCCTAGGGTAACTGGCTTGCTGTTGTAGTTGTAAAACATGATGGACATCAAGTGGCCGGTATCGAGGCCAGTGAAGGTCGACAATGGGAAGCTATAAAATTTCTCAGTGCCGTCAAAGGTCCATCCAAGCTGTGTTGTGGTCCTGTCGACAGATTGGAAGTTAGAAGCACTGCATGAAGCACTGTATTGCATCTGAACAGTGAATGTAGTGCCTGCAGCAGCCTTGATACGCATTCCAACACCACCATACTTGTTGGTGGCACTCGTGCAGTCCAAGTTGGTGTAGAAGTAAGAGCTGCCCGTAGGGGTAAAGGTAACCCGGTTATTGGCAACGACGATAGAAGTCATAGTACCATCATCTGACGATGCCTTAAGCATGGCATTGTAGTAGAGGAAGGTAAGACGGGACTGTGATGCCCAATCATCAACGACCAGAGGCGAGCAAGTCCCTGAAGTTGTAGGAGTCGAGGAGGTGACCGTTGGAGAGGTGACAGTTACACTAGTTGACGAAGAGGTTCCGGTGGGTGTTACGGTAGTAGAGCTTGATGATCCAGTACCGGCCGCACAGGCAAGTTTGGTCTCACCAAGTTCCCATCCAGCGGTGTTGGAGCTGAACGCAGACCAGACAAAGGCCTTGATCACGTTAAGATTGGTGACACCACTAAAGCTGGAAAGCGGTATTGTGAGAGTTTGAGTTGCACCCGTCAGACCAGAAACAGTATAGTAGTAGCTGGTGTAGGTTGTTGATGCACAGGTGCTTGCGGTCTGTATTTCCAGGGTGAAGGAAGCTCCAGAAGCAGGACTCTTGAACGGGAATGTAATGGCATTATAACCCTGGGTCGTGGCAGCAATGCATGAGTCAAAAGTCTCATAGAAGTAAGCATTTGCCTTGGGT